ATGACGATAGGGCATCATCTCTTATTTTAGTTTATATACTCTAGGTCGACTTTCCAAAAACTATTCAAAAATAACTTCATATAGAAAATGACCCGCTAAACAGCAACAAGAGTGCATTGTTTCTTATTCCCCTTTATTCTTTATGTACATCTCGTATAAAGTGTGTTCGGGCTCCATTACTTGCTGATGGACTGTAGCACACAGACTCCTTAGCAATCACCCTTCATCCTGTGTGAGGTTGTTGTGACTCATCTGTGTATCACCACTGCTCCTCTGCCCTCTCACTGCCTCCTCAAAATCTCCTGCCAGAGCAGTTAGGTGGGCTGACAGTATTTAGCCTACAATGTTTCATAATCTGGCAAATGAATCTTAAGCAGCGTTGCAATCAGCTATCCAGGAAGGAATGATAATATAGCAGAGGATTTTGCAGGAAGCAATGAGTATTTAATGATTAAGGAGATTGATTACAGCATAGCTTACATCTCAAGGGCGTTTAAGGAGTTGAAGCATTTAACAAGGCTAGATGTCATGCTGAACTGATGCACCACCAACACTCAGAGGAGCCTGAGATGTGTTCACTGCGGTGGATATTGCATTTAACTGTGTGTGCGTGAATCTAACCAACTGGAACTTGTTAAAGCCCGATTATATGACCTCTCGTTTTACCGTGTAATAGTGCAAGCAACTGCCGACATGCTTATCCAGCCTTATTACACACACACACACACACACACAGACACACACACACACACACACACACACACACACACACACACACACACACACACACACACACTCAAAGCATGTGCAGGCAGTCACGACTCACAGAGCCGTACACACACACACATGCATGGACACACAGACATGCTTGTATGTGATGTGAGGCAGGGTGCTGTGGAGATCAATGGGATAGCATGCTAGGTCCTCTCGCAGAGACAATTAAAAGAGAATGGATAATGAGGCTATTTATAGACTGATCTATTTGTAACCAGGGCATTCTCCTACGTAGGAGCTGGGAGTTGTTCACTTTTCTGCATGCCCTCTTTCTCTCCTTCCCCTCTCAGTTGCTCCAGCTCCCTTATTCAAGCAAGGGAATGTAAACTCTTTACTCTCCTGCTTTTCACACGACCACTCTGTCATTCCCTTTTTTGCTCTTTCTCCGACATGGGATGCATATTGAACATCAGTTATTCTCTGCATGTAATAAATGGGCTCACAGTCATTTGCATTCACATGTGAAGAAACAGTGTCATGCAGCAGTGATGTTATCAGGTGCGATCCAGGGCCACTCCTGGGAGACCCAGTGACGCACCATGCATGACATAATGCTGGGGTAATGTCTGTGGTTGTGAGAGAGAGCGACACAGACACTGTGGATACACACACTGTGAATACACACACTGTGTGCGCTCAGCTACCAGATAATGGTACTGCACTAAAAGAGCAGCCAGAGAATATGTGAATAGCACACATTTGCATTGTTGTTAGCAGGCTGCAAATATATTTTTTAAGGTTTGATTTAGTTAAAAGTTCAGAGGAGTTTCTGTATAAATATCATTATTGTACAAATATTAATATTCGGGATGCTCCGATCGATCGATATCGGCCGATATTCACTCTCTGCCGATCGATCGGTGCTCTCTATAAAGGCCGATCGTGAGAGCCGATCACATGACGTAAAATACATGAGACTTTTCTCTGTGCGCGGCAAAACAAGCTCGCCAAAATGGCTTCACCAGTCTGGCAGTATTTTAAGGTGTCCGAAAATGACAATAAAATAGCGGTATGCAACGTGTGTGAAGCAGAAATCCTGCAGCTCCACCCGCTGTGACGGACCGGTGAGCGGAGCAAAACACTCACTAAGAGTTAGACCTAACACACTTAGCTATTTTATCTACCTCTGGAACAAGCTAAACTAGTTATAAATATATTGATTCTTCACTGTCAGGTCACTCATTACTGGATCAGTGAGCTGCATGAGACCATACTGACAGGCTGTCAGGAGAGAGGGAGAGGAAAAGAGAGCTAGTTATGTTGGTTGTTGTTTGTGGAAGCGCCAGTGAATGAGCCCCATTAACTGAGTTTTAAACATCACTTTCAATCAAGATCCCCATAGGCCCCGCCCACTCGATCGGATCGGCGATCGGTATCGGCCGATACTGATTCCGGCGATCGGCCTCAAAATTGTCGATCGGAGCATCCCTAATTAATATGAAATACAATGACTTTGTAATGTACAAAAGTGAAAAAGTGTTTTGACTGATCATCATGAAACCTAAACCTCTGAGATTATGAATCACATATGACTATATTCTGAGATGTTATAGATGAAATGTTTCATCGGTCAATGAAAAACTAAATCGGTAATAATTAGTGGTGCACGATAATTATCGGCCCGATATTAGGAATTATGACGTCATCCCGATAAACCCGATAACAGTATTAATAGCCCCGATAATATACAATATATTTTTTGGGTAAAAAAAAGAAAAAGATACTGCGGTGTGGGTGGATTGGGATGAGGGGCGCTTGTTTTTCACTCGGCTCCTCCCGTTTTGCCAGTACTGTGGTATTAGTGGTTTAGGAAGAGGGGAGTTTTTCACAAATCCAGCGCTCCCTAACTCATGCCTGGCTGTGACGTAAATGGTGTGCGGCCGTGAAGCCAGGACAGTAAACAAACATGTCTTCGGTAGTATGGGACTATTTCAAAGTTTCAGAGTTAGATAGTTCGCTTGCTATTTGTATTAACAAATGCAATGCAGAAGTTCCATGAGGAGGGAAAAAGGCAACGAGCTATAATACTTCCAACCTGATTAGTCACCTGAAACACCGCCATCGCTACGATGGTGTGTTAAAAGCGTACGAAGACGCCTGCGCTGCTAAACTAGTGGTGAATCCAAAGCCAGCTGCAAAGGCACCGGGGCTTTTACTGTACCTATCGACGAGGCTTTTGAAAAAGGCAAGAACTTTATTTGGGAAAATAAATATGGTCACTTTGAAGAGTCAAAACTGTTCTTGGCTTTGTTTTGTTCATAGTAGTAATGCTCATGTCATTTGCTCACTACTAGTCTTTTTTTTACCACCAGGTGTGCAAAAACTACAGGTACATTTAATATATATATATTAGGGCTGTCAAGTTAACGCGTTAATAACGCGTTAACGCAAAAAAAAATTAACGCCACTAATTATTTTAACGCGATTAACGCATGTGTATTTTTTGTCCTCGGCCGCCCCGTAGTTTCAGAGCGCATCGAGTTTAAAATACCATCTACAAGCTGATGCTGACAGCCCCGCTCCTGCTACCCGCTTGTGGCAGACCACACTTCCACGCTCACCGGCAGGCACCGACTGGCCATCTGGAGGACCGGGAGGGTGTGTGTATGTGTGGCTCGAGCGAGCGAGAGAGAGACCTTAGGTGCATTGTTGTTGTTAGCATCTGGTGCTAGCTAGCTGCGCTAACGGATATGGAGCTGTTTAAATGAAAACAGAGGAGCGACATTTCGCCACAACTGCGCCGAGCACTTGACTTTATGCAGGAAGCCAGACAGTGGGACATTGTACGAAAAGTCAGCACACTCAGCACGGATAGTGCGCAACATGATTGCAGCGTCCAGGCAGATCCCGTTCGAGCGTATGTCTTGAGTTGCACATAGCTCCAACGATCCATCACACACACACACACACACACACACACACACACACACACACACACACACACACACACACACACACACACACACACACACACACACACACACACACACACACACACACACACACACAACACACACACAATTTGTATTGTATGAGAGAGGTTCCAGGTTGAATTGAGGCGAATATTTGTAATGTTCAGAGGTTGTTGTGTTTAATATTCATGAGAATATTTGTCATTGTTCAAATGATAATAAACATTAGCATAAAGCATATTTGTCCACTCATATGTTGATAAGAGTATTAAAAACTTGAAAAATATTCGTCTAAGGTACATTTAGAACAGATACAAAATGTGCGATTAATCGCGATTAACTATTTTAATCGACTGACAGCCCTAATATATATATTATATTATTATCGGTTATCGGTCTTGAGAAGCAGGAAGTTATCGGTAACCAATATCGTGCATCCCTAGTAATAATCAATACTATTTTGCAGCTTTGAAAATGTGATTGAATATATGAAAATGTGTCAATATGAAGAACAGAAGTAGAGTAGTACATATTTAACATAACATTTGTAATATTCACAGAACATATTCTTCTATGATTCTTATTCATCCACATTGAAAGCTTACATAATGCATAATTAAAACAAGTCAAATCAAAGATAATTGCATGCAAGCTTCTCAATTCATTGGTGTTAATGGTATTTGGATAACAAAGTTGAACGATCTCTTGCCAAAGCATTCCCTCTGATGTAACAGACCCTTTCGCCATATTATTTCAGCTACTGCACGAGCATTATTTTCTTGACAGCATTCTAAATGTAAAATGTCCCTCAGGCAATGAAGGTTTTTCAGATAAAAGAGCCAGAGATATTTATGTGCAATAGTTCATGGAGTATGAGGATGTGGATGAGGTCAAGGCCCTGATCTGCTGAGCAGAATGATATAAGGAACGCAGAGTCCAGGCCCATCATGTTGCAAACTGGAAATGACAGATGGTGTGTGTGTGCTGTAAGAGCAAAAATTATAAAAGAAAGGCAGAGAGAAAAAAAGATCCATTTCAAAGCTTAATACAAAACTATACAAAATCTAAAAATGTTCAGAAAGACGGCAATTATATCCGCAGTTTTTAGCTTTGCAGTTAAACTGATATTTATTTGCGTTTGGATAAAAATGGCTATTATATATATTGTTTTATTCTAATGTAAAATAAATGCAGATTGCTGTAGTGTTAACCCTTAATATGTACAACATTAAATTCGCCTGTTAGAACATCCGACACACTTTGATGATAATTGATCAACACATCTCTAACTCCTTCTCCCTCTCTCTGTCTAAGGTCTCGCAGGTGACCAAACTGACCTGGACAAGAGGAAAGAAATCTATGGTAAAAACGTGATACCTCCAAAGAAGCCAAAAACCTTCCTGCAGCTGGTATGGGAGGCCCTGCAGGACGTCACCCTCATCATCCTGGAGATTGCTGCCCTGATCTCCCTGGGACTCTCCTTCTACCACCCCCCCGGAGACAGCAGCGGAGAATGTGAGTTTAGTGACTTTAAAGGTCCCCTATTATACTGTTTTTCATCCATATATTATAGGTCTCAGTTATATACAAAACATGTCTCTGAAGTGTTTGGCTCCAAATACCAAACAGATCGTGCATTGCAGCATCCCATAAACCCCTCTGTTTCAGCCCTGTTTCAAAAGTGCTGTTACTTTAGATGAAAATAAGGAGCCCCTCCCCTCTGAGAGATATTTGGTTAAAAAGAACACAATGGTGCTATAGGAGGAGATGCAGGTGATAAGGAGGAGATTCAGGTGATACCTTGGTTGGTGATTGGCTAATGGTTACACAAGCCAATAATTCGTTATGACATCATAAAGTGGCCAAAATCTGATCAGCTCATTTTCAGTTTTTATTTAAATGAATCGGGACAAAAAGTGAGCGAATATTTTTTCCTGAATCGTTCAGAATCTCTTTACTCAGAGGGGACACATGTTTATGCATAAAAGACGTGACAAAGTGGATTTTGCACAATAGGTGACCTTTAAATTCTGTCTTGTCATTTGTTTGGAGGTCTTTAGATTAGCACAAACACACACACTTCTACAGGCACTCACTTCCCCACACACTTTTTAATTGCTGATGTAGGTCGTACTTTTTGACCTGCCTCATGAGATCAAGCTTGCTCGTGAGTGTGCGTGCACAATATGAACGTGTTAAATGTGTGCACGAGAGGTACCGGGAAGGTTAATGAAGCGTTGAGTAGAGAAATAACCTTGAGCTCCCTGAGCTCATACATCAGCACTGTGAGCCGTGAAACAGGAAATGAAGACAGAGATCATAACGAGGTGCTGAGTCAGCAACATCACTCATTGCTCAAAGCATTATCACAGTAATGGAATTCAGTTAGCCTGCCAAAGGGACCAGTCATCATTTTAAGGGTTTTAAAGTGTTATGAAGGTAGAAATACCAGAGAAAGAAGAAAAGGTAACCGTCTCACTTGCATGGGTAGTTAATCAAATCATTGTTTAGTTAATAACATGTTTTAGTTGGTTGGTTAGGATTAAGTCAGGGTTAATGAGAGAGACAATTATTTATTCAGTCAGCCAAAAACTCCAGTCATAAAATGATTGGTAATTTGATCGCACCTTTCTGTTCATTTGATTATTTTCTTTGCATATTTTGAGCAGCATTGCTTTATGAGTGAGCTCTCCAAATAAAGCAGATTTTCCTACTGTGATAGCATTGCAATCATGCAAGATGGAGTCATGAAACTACATGGTTTGAACTTTGAAGATGAGATCAAATTGAAGGCTGAATTGGCCCTGGGTGCAAAGGGGTAGGATGTGCCCCCCCCATCCTGATATATGTAAAAAGAAAATATCCCACTCATTAATGCTTTAAGGATTTGTTTATTTATAGGTCAAAACAAGCTCAACAGTCCAAAAATCGAAGGTGGTGGGATGACTTAATTCTCATTTACATATGAAACAGCCTGGCTGCAGTTGAATGAGGATGCTCTTAATTGCGTCTTGTATCAAAGACGCAACGTGAATCTAAACAAATCCTTGAGAAAGAAAATACCGTAAGTAGACTCAGATTCCAATATGGTTGTGCCTATAGTCAGTCATATATAAACTTACATCCCACCCAGTTGTGAATGTTTTTCCATCGCTGCACTAGCTATTATATGTCCTGCTTTGGGCTTAAATGTTGCCCAGTTGTGTCACTTCAGCACCATGGACAGCTGCAAATGTGCTGCATAGTTGTGTGTCTTTCCATGAGAGATACAAGAAAACAGTTTGTGCACACATGTACGTGTTTATATTGTTCATAAAAAGCTTTTTTAACAATCTTTTTTGTCTTCACAAGATAGTAAAATGACTTCACTTATCACATCAATGCCAACCTTACGTTGCATAATCTTTATGGAGAAGGTGAACTAACCAGTAGCTATTTTTTTTCTGACACTGTACAAACTAGAGAAAAAAAAAGTGCAATTAAATACATTCAATGAACAATACTTAGTCATTTACATTAAATGTTAATATTTTTTAGATAACAATATAATTATTATATGTCCTAGAAATGTCTCCCTTTGTGCGCAACCTACATGAATGTATGAGTACATGTGTGCAGTGCTACTGGCGGTCTAACATGTGTCGGCGTGTGCAGTAAATCCACTACATGAACATATTGATTGGAATCCCTTTGTAGTGCAACAGAAAGCCCAAATTACTTCTTTGAGTCTAGTTCTTGCTTGATTCAGATCCTTCATTATGTAATGCCTAAAATATGGGGGCTTTATGTTCTTTTGTGAGCTGCAATTTCTGTACAGTCCAAAGCAAATCACCCCACTGAGGGCCTTTGAAGTCAGCTAGTCACGAGTGTAGCCACTATAGCGCCCAGAGTATTACAGGAAGCAGCACGGGGATGACTGGGAATAAGCCTTGTTTCATTCCCAAATATACCCAAGAGCACAGCCAGTAGACTGCAGGGCATTCATAGGAAGTGGAGCATACAAATGGCCAGTCTAGGAGAAGTGAATTCTCTAAAGATTTTATAATATTTTGTTTCTGAAATTGTCTTTTTATATGACATACATTGTACACAGGCAAAGAGTTCGCACTCACTCTCTCCAGTGTGATTTTCGATTACACCGGTTGAGTGTCTTTCTTTATAAAGTGTTCATACTATACACATAAAGGAGCTTACAGTACATACCTTAGCTTACAGTACATACCTTAGTATGAAATCAGACTCAGTGTCATCAGAACACATTCTAAAAAGACACAGAAAATAGTATAACACCTTTATAATTTTTACTCTTTTGCTCTTCTTTCCATCCTACCCTTGTGCAGTCTGTGGCGCGGGTGCAGCTGGGGTGGAGGACGAGGGCGAGGCGGACGCCGGCTGGATCGAGGGCGCCGCCATCCTGTTGTCTGTGGTGTGTGTGGTGCTGGTGACAGCTTTCAACGACTGGTCGAAAGAGAAGCAGTTCCGTGGGCTGCAGAACCGCATCGAGCAGGAGCAGAAGTTCCAGGTGGTCCGCGGCAGCCAGGTCATACAGCTGCCCGTGTCAGACATAGTGGTGGGGGACATCGCTCAGATCAAATACGGTAGGTGTGAGGAAGTTGTCAAACTGTACACGTATGTGTGTCAGGGTCCCCGCCGATCCTTAAAAAGTCTTAAAAGTCTTACATTTATTTGTCGGTATTCAAGGTCTAAAAAGGTCTGGAATTTTAGGAGGGGAGGTATTACATGTTATCTGGTGCAGAATGAATGAGTGTGCAGGGGGGACATTGGTTTCCATTGGTCTACTGCTATACAATTCTTTTTTTGTTAATGCGAAGGCAGTCATGTCAGGTAATGTGTACTGAATACTTCCCGTTATTCAAATGCAATAAAACTCAGTAACGGTTTATACTGTTGTCTAGTTCATCGATTTTTTTGTATTGGTATTATTTTTTCTTAAAAGTCATTAAATGTGTACTTAGAAAATGTGCAGATACCCTGGTTTGTGTTATATGAAGAAGCTAATGCATTTTGAAAGTTGTGTAAGCTCAAATGCCAACCACTTCTTGATGCATATTCATAGTTTATAGATCTTTAAACAGGATTAATAAAAGGTTGGTACATTTCAGAATACCAAACATGAGCTGCAAGAGGCTTCTGTGGTCACAAAGCTCCCTCCCCCAAAGCAAATACTATCAAACGGCTGCGACTGTTTTGATTCTGCTGCAAAGTGCGGCAGATTTCTACTGTGGCTTTCATTGAAACACTGATTAAAGTGAACTAAAATGGACCAACGTTTTTAGTACATTTTGATAACTTTGGTGTGCCTGGACGTGCCCACCGACTTTATCCATTGGCTAGTCTTTTGTTCTGTGCAAAGTCAATTTTGTGGTTCAGTGGCAATTTTGTGGTCCCCCTCTACTTCCAGAGAGGGGGATTACAATTATAAAGTCCACTTTAACAATTACATAGATTTATGCAACAGTGTTTAAATGTTGAGGAATGAGTTGTGTTGTGAATGTGTTTTTCTTAACTTACTTTAGTGTGTAAGGCAGTATCTATAAATGACAGAAAATCTAGCAACTCTGCTGTTTCCATGATTACAGGTGATCTGCTTCCTGCTGATGGCGTGTTGATCCAGGGCAATGACCTGAAGATTGATGAGTCATCACTGACCGGAGAGTCCGACCACGTCAAGAAGAACGCAGACAAAGACCCCATGCTGCTGTCTGGTATGTTGTCACTGCTCTCAGTAGAGATGGATGAGTCTGTTCTGCACGCCAAGGCCATGTCTGCTGCATGTAATGTGGGACGTTTGAAGGACAAAGGGACAGGAGGAGACTCAACTCACACCGTTTTTTAAATCTTTAATGTTATTGTATTCAAAACATAGAAAGCAGTTTGGAATTATTGAATCCTTCAAAAAAACCTTCAATGGCAATTTGACAATATGTCACCATGCACATAACATCAGAAAATACAGTAGGTAGATTTTTTAGACCTACTAGCCAAATGTCACAGTATTTTATTTTCATCTACTGCATTACATAACTGACATAATTAAAAATACTAAATGGTATCATAATAATCAGGGCTTTTTACAATGACTACATGCAACTGTGTAATGTGGCATATAACAAGAAGGCTTCACACATTTTTCTAGTTTATTGAAGGAGTAGATTTAGTCTTCAAGCACACAGTCACAGTCATGGCATTACCTCGGACTAAAGACAATAGGTTCTTAATTATAATCTAATTATAAAGGCAACAGAAGACACTGGTGACGCCCTGGAGGCTTTATTTCATCTATGTCCCCTCTGTATTGGTTCGCTGCAGCAGGGACACCAGAATCTGCAGCTGTTGAATTTCTGAAGAATCTCACTGATAACAGAAACATGCGTTAATCTGATCTCACATCTTAGAACTTTTCCCGTGGATAATTAGCTGTGTGCCTTTTGTTGCCTCCTTTAATTAGCCTAATATTCACCCACATGGACTTTCTCTCCCAAAGGTTAATAATGTTCTCCGTGTGTATACTTGTGTATACTACACAAGCACAGAAGTCTACTACACGCTTTTCCATCGGGCACTTCTTAAAACTGTTTTTGGCTCTCTACTCCAGCACATTTACAATAAGACTTTGTGTAAGAATTGAGAATAATTTGCTGTATGAATGAGAATTAAGAATAAAATGCTGTCCTTTGGTTTTAACGATTTAATGTTTGATATAGTGACGGTGATATATAATTAAATGTTCTAGATCAACCATGTGAGTCACACTTATGTGTTTTAAATTGTATGTAGCATACCAACCAATAACAACTTTTATACTGTTCAAAAAATAATTAATAGAATAATTGGTCAAATAAGGAAATTAACAATTATTATATTTAGTGTAGTTATATTTTACTTCATTCTATTTAAAAGAAGTGTCAATAGTTTTAGCGATTAAGTAACCAAATCATTCATTCAATGTATTCCTCTAGTATCTTTACCGTAGTGCAAACAAATGCACGCATTCATTCCGGGTTATAAAAGAATTGCGTAAGTTATCACAAACGCATTTAATCTTGTTGTAACATCCTACCATTACACCCTACTGCACTTTCTTCCAGGCACCCATGTGATGGAGGGATCAGGGCGCATGGTGGTGACGGCTGTGGGGGTCAACTCTCAGACTGGAATCATCATGACCCTGCTGGGGGCCGGCCCAGAGGAGGAGGAGAAGAAAGAAAAGAAAGGTCAGATCATTAAATAATCATTTTCTACAAATGCAAGATGTGTCTGCACTTGCTTCAGAAGTATTACGGTCATTTGTAAGTGTGGCTCAGATATGCACCCTTGAAAAACCTGTCCTTATGTCCTGAAAGTGTAAGAGTGTACGATGAATGCATAATATATATAAGGGTTATTAACAATAAGCTCATATGTACACCTGTTGAACTGTTCTGAACTGTATAAGCCTGTTGTAGGTATTTGGGCAGCACCTGAATGGATGTAAGCACTGTATGATATTAGCATGTTGTGGTACACTTGTGAGCTGCAGTATCCAGGTTCTGTGGGTTCAGGTGCATTGTTGTACTCACTCTCTTATCCTTCACCTCAAAGGAGGGGCAGTGGAAGACGGACACCAGAATACAGGTAGAGTATCACCTTTGTCTGACCCCTGGGAGTGGTACTTTATCCTTTTGCTCTCTAACCCTTAATGATCCCCAATGAACCGCCGTTATTCTACACCCCTTTCCTGTAGCCGAGCACCCTTTCCCCTGTGTAATTCCCCTCTTATAAAGAGAAGCTGCATCCTCACAACACTGCATCTTCTCAAGTGTTGACAGATGACACATTTCACAATGCATAATCCTCTCCCCATATAACAGACACTGCACTCATCAAACTAACTAGCTAGCATTCAACAGCAGTCCTGTTTCAAAGACCTATTGAATGCCACGAGTAAACAAAGGCTGTCAGACTAATCTCATTTCTGCATTACAGAACAATGGCATGAGAGCGACAGCCTTGCAGGTGTACAGCACATGTACCAGCAGTAGAGTGGAGTGCACAGTAAAAGCTTTTGAAAGATGTAGTGTGCATGGATAGCTGACTTAATGTTTTGAGGCATTTTGCTTTAGTGCTGTCTCAGAATTGGTGTAGAAGTAACAATAAAACATGTCTTATCCTGAAGATAATACTTGGATCTGAAAACATCACATGTTCTTCCTTCGACCTATAGTTGCATTTTGTTCCTAAATGTTCATCAATCTGATATGATAGTCTAAGCTCATTGAACTATCTAAATTCACTTTGAATTGACCTTTTACGTTAACACATCCTGGATCCTTGATTTAAAGATGCAGACTTTACATCATGCACTTTATATATGGCGTAATAACTTTTACAGTTGTATTAAGACTCTCTAAATATGACTTAATCAGCCTAGAGTAGCATTATGATGCAGGTGGATTATGTGACAACATCATGCTCATGATTGCATCAGTACTTTGTACTGAAATCCATAAGTTGCTGTGTCATTTTAGAAAGCAAATGTTTTTTCAGTAAGCTTATCAATGAATAAGGGAGAATAAACATTCATGCTACTGTAAGTCATAGTTTTTTGTTAACAATTAAAACAATGATCAACCTTCAATTGGATTTCATTCTTCCAGTCGTCATCGTTAATGTGACTGTTGTCAAAAGACATAAAAACATCTATGCAAGATCCATTTCAGGTTTAAAAAAAAATACTATATATACAGTAGGAGGGTCAAAATGTGGAAACTAACATTTAACACTACTCAAATGCATCAGTTCAGTCCCTAACTGGTTGGGACATGTGTTATTACCTTGCAAATACGCTGGCCTTTTATTTTCATTTTTGACAGTTTATTTACAGAGTGGCTATGCAACACTTTTCTGTTCACAATATGATTTTGTGATGCTAAAAGATACTACATGAATAACATGGTTTAAAGGAACTTTACATACAATTAACACAAACAACTACAACACCAGTATTTCAATAATGGTAAAGCTATTGTATATTGACAGAATTATAAGATATTCAGTGTATTGAAACATCTTTTTTTCATATTTTTAGGCTCTGGTTTTACATGTTACTATATCTTTTTTCTATACATGTTATGTGAAATGTCATGTTTCATGTCTGTCTAATGTTACACTTTTTTGTTCTATTGGCATACCTTGAAATGACATAACATACATATACTAACATAAATAATAGACACATTAAACATGTTTAAACTACGCTGATCACATCACCAGACGTTAGTATACACATACATACTATAAGCTGAGACTCTTAAATGTGCTATAACCATGTTATTTCTGTTCATTGTCTTGTGTGTGCACATGCGCGCGTGTGTGTGTGTGTGGGCGCGTGTGTTTTGGTTCATTCTGTTCGGCCTTCATTGTTACTGGCTAGACTGCTCCCACCCCCCCCATCCACCCCATCGCAACTATAGCCACGGATGGGGCTGCAGGCATTAATGCCCCTGGCAGTGCCAGCCTAATTAATGGTAGGTTGACAAAACCTCTGACCTCTTTCTGTTGTGACCTTTGACCCCTCCTACCGTCTCCATTCTGAAACTGCCTCCTATCACGGGTGGTCATCTTCTTCTCTACCTTTTGTTTCAGTTGTGTTGGACCCTTTTGTATCCATGTTGTCAATGCACGTACTTTTGTAGTTGTAGAAAGTAGTTTTGTGTTTCTTTTTCTTCTCTTTATGCTATTTTTTGTCTTGTAGGCCATTTAGCGTATATTCATTAAACCTCTCTTGGAAGAATGACTTTTTTCTAATGAAAACTGAATCAAATGAAACACATAAGGTCTTTGTGATTCTAAGTAGTGAAATCTGGTTGAGCCTTTTTTTCAAGATAGGGGTGTTGTTAAGTACATGTTGTTACCATCAGACAGAGCCAGGTAATCTTTGCAGTGTTTGCTGTCCACATGCTAAGCTAACAAGCTGCTGGTGGAACTGCCATATTTATTGGACATTCAGATTTTTCTAATCTAACAAAAGTTTCCTGAAATTGTTGAATGACTCTTAAAATGGTGTTGACCTTTTTTTAGAAGTTTAGTTTATACATTTTCATATTAATCCAGATTTCTGACAATATACAATAGGGCCATCTTCTATATTTGGGTGTCCTTTGGGATCACTTAGTGCAAGTCCTCTGTTTTCAGGTTAGCTTGACAAGATGCAAAAGCTTAACGATATGTATTGTTCCACTGGGTTATCTATCATCTTTGTCTCCTTGGAAAGATTCCACAAAATGTGTGTTCCCGAAGCAGGAGGGGGGTGATTTGCACTTTAATGGTGACCTCGTGCTGTCCTGGGCGGGAATGGAGCGATTTGTCGTCTTAGCTATATTGTGATTCAAGGGAACTTGCTAGTGTGGAATCGCAGGTGAAACGAGCCATTTATACTTCACAAACATGCTGTGGATTCTGAAATATCTGGTGTTCAAACACTATCTAAGTCATTTTCTCTTTCACACATTTGAGCAAAAAAAAAGCATTTACAGACAGATGTTGTGAAACAAATGCAAATCTCTATAATTATAGCCTGGGTGGATAATGTGATCAAAAGTGCTGCATAAAATAAATGCTTTCTTTATTATTTTGTCTTTTATTGTAAGCACTGTGTGTTAATTTTGTTTAAAGGCACAAGACAATAGTAATTATTCTTCATTCGTTTGATATATTCTGTGTGTAGTTATTGAATCTGTAATTCTACTAGCAAGTTGATTCTGCATTTTGAAACCGTAGCGTGTGCTTCAAACGCATTTAAATTAAGTATACACTAAGTTTGCTCCTTGTGTAAGCAGAATCCAACAACAGCATAATAATTCAGCATCTCTGAACTTAGATTTCGATTTTCCTCCTGTTGTTCTTATGTAACATGCCATGTGGGAGGCTTTTCCTTCTGGCTCTCTCTCTCTCTCTCCCTCTCTTTTCGTATTTCTCCTACCTCCTGTCTGCTTCACTCTTAAGCGTTCGATCTTGCATGAGCTCTCTGAACTTTCCTCTTATGCATGCTGTCTCTTGTGTTTGTGTGTGTGTGTGTGTGTGTGTGTGTGTGTGTGTGTGTGTGTGTGTGTGTGTGTGTGTGTGTGTGTGTGTGTGTGTGTGTGTGTGTGTGTGTGTGTGTGTTTGTCCTGTACACTCCCCCACTGTCAGTGTTCAGTGTAATGCTGTATCTACTGTATTTCTTGAAATCTAATTTGATACCCTAGCTATTTGACTCGTATTGGTGATAATTTGTGCTCATAGTGTGATTATGTCCTTCAGGACAATATTTTAAACGAAGAATCCTGCAGAAAGTGTACAGTTAATGTTCTGAATGATATGTCATACACAATATATTTTGATGTTAAACATGTTTTTCAGTAATGCCCATTAAGCATTTTTTGTTATATTCTTATGCAATCTAATCAAATATTTTGAAATGTAATGTTCTCGACATAAGACAAGAAAGAATTCTGCACACTATGGTTTTTCTCTGTGGCCCCTTTCCAAGAGAGGTACTGTAGATTCTGCTTGCATTACATATCGTACAAATCAAAAGCCTTCTTATGTGACACAGAGACGTTTTATTAAAAGTCATTTCCCTGTCTCCTTGTTTGTGATTTTTGTTTTTTTACTGTGTGTGCTGCCTGTGGTGATGATTTGTTGACATGTCTGCCTTGGTTATTTTTGTTGTTATTGTCTTGTATGTCTCCATCATAGGTAAAATGCAAGATGGCAATATGGAGAGCAACCAGATTAAAGGTAACCAGACCATATCTTTCACTCTCTCCTCCCCTGCCTTCTCTCTTACTCTTTTACTCATATTTTCCTTTCTATGACATGTGGTGTAAGCTCTGGGTCAAATGCAGGTGACAAAATCCCACATTGCTTTGTTTATTCCCGCCTTTATTATATCCTGCACTTTTAATACTTGATGTCTCAAGTTGTTTAGTCTTTCTCTGATTAATGTCAGTGCTTGACCCAGGTTTCACCTGCAGTCATGTTTGGTAAGAAAATCCCTCCCTTCACTCTGTCTGTCACTGGTGTGTTGTTTTGTTGTTGTTGTTCTTGTTGTGTTGTTGACTTGTCTTGTTCTGTGTGAGAAAACATAAAACTGTCCCTCAACTACTTCCTCGCTCAGGGTTCCTTCTTCGAACCAAACCCTCTCTAAACTTTCCTCTCGAGTACTCGAGTATTATATCACACCCTGGTTTACCTTTTCCAATGTTTCTTGAAATGTTCCCCACATTCGGATGTATATGTTCTGTCATTAAAGGGATCAACTATTTGTTTACGGTGTCCTCCGGGGCTTTAGCTGCAGCAATGTTTGTTTCAAATATTGTTTATCTATCAATTTAGTTTGTGAAAAATGATGCTCATCCCAATATCTTAGTGTTTCTTACAAGCTATAAAAGATAGAACAAGGAGCACATTTACACATTCAAAACATGTTTGATTTTTAAACAAATAAATAAACTGTCCTGTCTGAATCAACCAATTGATTAATTACATACCACAGTAAAAAGACTAATATTGTTTCTGACATTTAAATATTCAAACTTGGAAATAATTGACAACCTTTCCACTAATAATGTATCTACAAGTCTATTTACTAAGTTGAAGCATTCATTTAATGTCTAAACGTGTTTTGTCTTTCAAAAGAAAAGCGTGTAGCGATTTAATAAGCACAGATTGAGCAAGTCAAAGTGTCCCCAAAGGGAAGGGTAAATGATGACTTTCCACACCTTGGTAGGCTATGATGAGTCGGATAAACACACTTACTGTTTTGCAGTGGCGAACCGTGATCCTTAAGATATTTTGTACGATATTCTGCCTTTGTACGCACAGTAACAATCCTACAGTGGCGAACCGTGTCTATCACAACTGGACCTTATGTAGACACACACACCCCCCGCGGCCGCCCCTCCCCCCCTCCGCGGCATTATAATGTCCGTCTTTTCACTGAATTGTCGTCTTGAAAAGGGTACTCACAACAATTCCGCAACAACTTCATCTTCACCTGTTGCACTTGTCATTTCAACGTTAGAAACAATAAAACGGCATGAATTGCTTCGTCGCATTCATCTAGATCCTCTGTCTCGAGCCAGTTAACTAGCGGGCCTTCTAGAGTACTCTGGAACCGAGGGAAACTCTGAAAGAATACGCCCATTGGCTACAAATCAATATATGATTGGTTGATCAAACTGTCAGTCCAAACGTACGCTCTCATTCAGTGCAACGGCCAGGGCATTCGATCAAGGATGTAGAATACATTGGTTGAAGGATATTCTACCCAGAGACCCAGAACAAGATCTGGTTGCTTTCTTTTCTAACACAAAACCACTGAAATGCGTAGTGCATGGTCCGAGAAGGACAAACAAATCAACGTAACACTGTAATATTACAGATCAACAACACAGATACAATTCTCATTTATTCATTTTATATACATTTTATTTATATAATTAAGTGTTGAGTGTTCCAGGGTATTCTCTGAATACCTTGAAGGCCCTGACGGTTCGCCACTGCTGTTTTGTATCATTAGCCTTGGGAAAACTATAAGCAAAACCAGAGAATGTCTTTTGGGTGATCATCATTCCCTGCCTCACAGTGATTGAAAAACGGGGCTGATCTTTGGTAAGAGATACATAAGGAAGGACTGAACTGTATGTGTGTGAGAGGGGGAGATAGATGAAGACAACAGAACATAGGAAACCTTGTTTCTGCCAAACAATAATTGGTTCTTTCAGTACATAGTAGGTAGAATATGATGTCATCTCAAAGTGTGAAGATGTGGACACTGGATTTGGACCTTTTGACTGGTAGAGGCAGTTTTATTGAATTGTCTTTATATTGTTTATTCTGCTGAGAGTTGACATGTTATACACTTTAGCTTATTGTGATTTATTTGTGTGTAAAATGTGCTTCAGTATTTATAAGGTTTATTTTTCCTCACGCTTTCCACATGATAAGCAGGCTTCAAATCTTTGAACATGGCCATGGATTACAACCACTGAATTATTCATGACTTACTGTAAATATGTGTATTTGATGAAAAATAGCATGAACGCTAAGAAACGCAGTGATTCCCTTTTCTACACCAAAAGAAGACCTACATTTTCATGCTTTCTAGTTGTTATTCTTTATATAGAAACACGGTTCACAACCTTTTTGAGTTAACCAAGAAGACACTGCAGGGACAAACAAACAATTCTTATTATGGTATGGTAAAGCTTAATATATCCCAATTATTTCCCATTGTGTCATGGGATGTCATATGGTATCTTCCTGGTTTTATATCCAAACTATCTCTGCTGTATAACCTGGGTTTGAAGCCTAGCCCCCTGGTTGCCCCATTCCCTCGGTCTAATCTACATCTCTAACGCTGCTTCTGTCTGTTTCTTTGTGGTGTTTACAGTCAAGAAGCAGGATGGAGCCGCTGCCATGGAGATGCAGCCTCTAAAGAGTGCTGAAGGTGGAGAGTCCGAGGAGAAAGAGAAGAAGAAGCATACCGGTTCGAAGAAAGAGAAGTCTGTGCTCCAAGGGAAGCTGACCAAACTGGCTGTCCAGATCGGCAAAGCAGGTACAAGTCCATCGCCTTGTCAGGCCGTTAAATCAGGGACAACAAGGCGCTGAGCCGTCATCCTGTCAGTCAAACAAGGTCGTGCACTGACTTCTTGTCTACCTAAAAGCAATCAAATGAGTTGAGAAGAATGCAAAAGTGTCTGAATTTTGGAAGTGTAGAAGAGTCTGTTCCCTTTTATTTTTCTAAATGACCTTCCATCTAGGGACATGCTGAATCATTGTAATGGGAACATCTGAGATTGCATTATGCCTTTTCCCTTCTGCATTTTCTGCAATCCAGCAAGCATTTTTTAGTAACAGATGCCCACATGCCATGTACTGTATGCCCACATTGTGGGTGTCCTCGCAGCAGCAACAAAGTAGGATTACTGTTTAACAAATAAGAGAAATTAGTATCACATACCTAAATTGCAACATGCAAAAAATGCAGGGTTTTCTGTACCGTGCTTGGGTATTTTTCCTTAGATAAATCCGTAATAGGTGATTAGCAAGTTAAACTGCCAAGGCTCTCTTCGAGAGGCTTATTTTGTTGTTGGGTTTATCATTTCTTGAGAAGCCCTTAAAGAAGTCCCTGTTATTACAGTGGGCTGTTATACAGACTGTTGGTGTAGTAGGGGATGGATTGAGGAGAGCGTGTCAGAACAATTAACTACTGTTACTGGACTAGCACACAAGCAGCAGTTGGATCATATGGCCTTCCACTCTCACTCTGTGTGCCTATTTTTTTAATTATATATTAATGCAGCTTCACTGCTCTCAATAGACTCCTAATAATAAACCTTACCAAACTGGTACATTGTCATGAGGAATGATGAAGAAATGTAGATAGAGGGATAAGTGGTTATGGTAGGGGTCTCTCCAATATTGTCCCTTGTTGACTAGACCAAAAAGGAGTATACACAGAGTCATAGCACCACCTAGCTAAAATGATTCCATGTGTATACAACAGTCCTGCATTACAATTGACTTGACTCTTTACCATTTTTTTAATAAAACTTGAGCTTATTTAGCCCCTAAATTAATATAGTGTTGACTAATCGAAATTGACTAATTTCTTTGTTTAATGTAGGCGTGTCAGTTAGCTATCCAAGTGTGCCAGCTAGGGCTGCTCGATTATGGCAAAAATCATAATCTCGATTATTTGGGTCAGTAATTGATATCACGATTATTAAAAACGATTATCCATTTACTTTGAAAACATCAATTTATTGGAAAAAAAAATGTGAACAGTATGTTTTTAACAGTTAACCCTGAACTTTAAGTATAATTCAACTGAAAAACCAATACAAAAAAAAAGTAATAATAATAAAAAAAATAATCGTTTTATTTCGATTACATTGTTTTTGTAATCGTTGCAAGCCATAATCGTAATTGCGATTAAAATACGATTAATTGAGCAGCCCTAGTGCCAGCATGCACAAAACCGTGACTGATTTTTTCGCTCATGGCATTATGGTGTGTCAGTAGTATGCTCTAAGTTTTAAACCCTCTTGGCCCGACTGGAACCTTTTAAGGGTTTTTCCCATAGGGTTGGGGTTTCGTATAGGAGGTGATCTGTTTTTCCTCCTTATACCAAAACATGTACGTTTCAGGAGGATTTAAGAATCTCCTCACTAATGAATTTCTACACATGAATCACATAAAGTGACTTCACTTCATCCTTTTTTTCAGGTTTGCTCATGTCAGCCGTCACAGTCATCATCCTGGTCCTGTACTTTGCCATTGACAACTTTGTGCTGCAGAAGCTGCCTTGGTTGCCAGAGTGCACTCCCATTTATGTCCAGTTCTTTGTCAAGTTCTTCATCATCGGTGTGACTGTGTTGGTGGTGGCCGTGCCGGAGGGGCTGCCGCTGGCTGTCACCATCTCCCTGGCCTACTCCGTTAAGGTGGGCAAGAATTACACTTAGAGAGTAAGAGAAAAGACAAACAGTGCAAATGGTACTGCCTTAATATTTGAAAGCTGTTTAAATGTTCACATTATGATCATCATGTTGTTAACTCCTGCAGAAAATGATGAAAGACAACAATCTGGTGCGTCACCTGGATGCATGTGAAACCATGGGCAATGCGACGACCATTTGCTCCGACAAAACGGGCACGCTGACCACCAACCGCATGACGGTGGTGCAGTGTTACATCGGGGATGTGCACTACAAAGAAGTACCAGATCCCGCAGCTCTGCCAACCAAATCAATGGACATACTGATCAATTCCATCTCCCTCAACAGTGCCTACACCACCAAGATACTGGTAAGCAACATGTAACGTAAGCCTTTGTAAAAGATTCTTCCGAGTATTTTGCTCTCTAGGTTGAGCGTGTATGGCAAGTTAGGACATAATATTACTGCGTCTGTACCTTATATATACAGTCTATGGTCTGTACACACAAAATGGTAACACAGTATTCCATATGGAATTTGAAACACCATAACACCACTTTTATGGTGCATCCTTGTAGCACTTTTCTCTAACTTTATACTCAGGAAGCTGCATGATGTCAGCGCCCTCTGTGTGAGTGGTGAAACCATATGATAAGAGAAGCCCTGAGACAGTTCTGCAGTGTGTTCTGCGTGGGAGCAGGCAGACTGTGTCCTTGGCTGCTGCTTTACATTCATCAGGAACTCACTCAACTTGTCACCTTGAGAACATTTGTGTAATGTTGTCTCATCTGATATTCTGAGCATAGCAGACTGTAATTGAATCAGATCTGTCTAAGTGCTGGAGATGCCTGCCTAAGATTGTTTTCTTAAATGCAATAAGAGATGGATGTACAGTATAGATGGACGGATAGATACAGTATGTTTCTAAACTCACCTGAACGCATTCACACAAACACACACATTTCTGCCTGTCTGTGTGTCACTATCCTTGTAAACCCCTTTAGAGTCGATTCAATGATAGCCGACCAACTTACAAATGCCCTAATTTAACTTGCATAGGGAATGAGCTGAGCATGCGGGACATCTGCGATAGAAGGATCACACAGATTTCACTTCATACCCCTCAAGGCACGATCACAGCCTCGGTGTAAACAGAGTGTTGATCATCCTTTTTTAAGATGGAGAGCTACACATTTCTGCCTACTCTAGCTTTAACACTGGTAGCTATGAAGCACAGTATATACCTTAAACTCTGGTGTAGACGAACAAGTTGCATCATTTTGTGTCGTTCAGGATTGAAAACTAAAATGTTTGTCTACTCACAGAGCCCCTATTTAAATATATAAATCATTGACACATTGTTAAGCCCTACTTTTGTTTAACAAACAGAACCTTTTGCATGAACATTTCTTTACACAGAGAATGTTATTTTAAATGATTTATTGTCAAAGCCATGTATAATCTGACCACAAACCACATATGCTTCCGTTTCTATCTTCAGTCAATATACAAAGTCCTTTACATTAACTTTGATAATATATTTTGGAAATATCAATATTTGGAAAACTACTTTTCTTGAATTGATCAATATAAAAAGGCTATTTTTTTTCATCACAACATGGATGCAGCGCAAATGCATTATCTTCCAGTGTCCGCCCTCTGCATTGGATCTTCTCCAAAATGTAATGGGTTCTTGCTCGGCCGATGATACAGTATACCCTTCCGGACAGTTTTATTTTTGTAGTCAAACTGAGCCAAAAACATAACCTCTGTAATAAGGCACATGATATTTACTGACAGTATTTTTGCATCTATTTGAAAGTGACGACACAAGATGAAAATGGTAGCCAAGAGAAACGATCCGGCAACACATTACTGTCTAGGCCTATTATATAAAAAAAGAATCGAAAGTCATTGAATGTTTGCTATCGCTACACGAATGTTTTGTTGATGGGACTATAAGGGTTGCCTAGGCTGCCTTTACACACAGCAATTCTTCACCATGATGTGCTACAATAACAAGATGTTATCCATATAAAAACCTTTGAGGAACGCTTTGCAGCATTACATCACACCTCCATAGCTGCTTAGCTCAACAGAATCAAGGCCGACGTGGCGGATTAAATGGCACATTCAGTCTGTTTCATAACCTCTTCATTCATAAAAGTGACATTTTGGGGTGAATTTTATTTAACAAAAGCATCTTCTGTTCTAGATACCCAACTGACAACATTGCTTATACATAGATCTACATCTCTTCATTCATGCATGCATACATACACATAACCAAAGAACACACATACATTATTTTATGGTAGTATTGAAGACAAAATCTAGCCCATAAATAGTACAGAACATGTCAGCATTTATTTATTGAGAGCTCTTTCTGGAAGGAAATACAAGAAACAAGAGAGCAAGATAGATAAGGACAGAGATAATTAAGGAATGAACTAATAAAGCCAGATGCAAAAGGGAACATATCTGAAGAATATTTAGTACATCTCCCTTCTCCTTCCCCCTGCCACCCCCACTCCCTCAGCACCTCTCCAGCTCTGCAGTACGCTGGCTGGTGTGTTCTTATATAAGAGGCCAATCCTGTGGGATGCCAGGATGGCTATGGAAGTCTTTGATGGCCACCACAAAGACACAAAGGCAAAAAGGCAGGCTTTGATATCCGTATCAGTCCCCCTACTGCCTCTCTAGCTGTATAATACAGCCAATGGTATGGCTCTGCTTCTTCTGTCAGCACATCGCAACTCTAAGTGGAGAAGCCTCGTCCTTGAGGGAGAAATTCACAGACATTTACACAATGAATCCATGCACACATAAAGTATAACCACTCATACAGTACACGCACAAGCTCCTATATACTGTATTCATGGAAACATCCATTTATTGTATATTCTGAAAGAGGATGCGTGCACACATGCATACAAATTAGCACACCAGTTCGCCTGGGATGTGTCTTGCAGACAAGTCAAGCGAGCTACTGAGCAATTTGTGAACACCATTCAGTGACGTCAATATACATTTTCACCGTAAGAGGATATGCATCACCGCCAGTGGCAAGAGCTATACAGACAAAATCCCCATTGATTTAGTCATACTTTGATTCTTCTGTTTCTCTCTCAACTTTCAGTTCACTTTCATAGGTTTTACATTTTGTATGATACATATTATATGGGTCTATAAAAACCCTGTTTGATGAAATGAACTTAATCTAATGAATAACTTTATTGACATGTAGGTTTTGGTTAAAGAATGTTAAATATTTAAGAGCAATGCCATTATAAAATATGTCAACAGACATTGAAAACTTGATTTGAAAACCTCAATCGAAGCTTCAAAGGTACAGTAAACAGACATTTTCAGATGCAAACACTGCCACACATCTGTCCTATCAGGCATACCCACACTGTAGGAGGCACTCAGCTCACAGGTGTATTCTCTTGCAGCACAGTGTCATGTGTTGAGCATGGCTGTGACTGTCCTTGGAGCTCAATCTCATGTGGCTTCAACCACCTGTTCAGGTCATTATTCAGGGACAAGAGGGGTGGATGATACACACACATGCACACAGTTAATGCAAACACACACACACACACACACACACACACACACACACACACAGATGGCTTCAATTGTGAGGTATATGTACAAAGGGACATTTACAGTAGCTCATGAAGATAAGCAAACAGATTCATCAGAATGTGTTGATGTTGAACAGGGATTATAGTGACATTTCAGTTCACTTTAAATGGGGAAAAAAACGTCATATGTCGCTCCACAATGGGCAATGTTCTGCCTGTAATTAAATGCACTGCCTCATTTTTGTTTGGTAGTGAGTAGTGGGGTCCTACTATAATTGGCTCACAGTGCTTTTGTCATCTGGACGTTGCGTGCTTGTTTACACAGTATGGAGGAGAGATGAGAGTATCTCGGATGTCTTTGGCTTGAAGCACCCAGTGTCCCCATGGAATAGTTTTGGACACAGAGACAGAGATTCAGTGGAGGAAGCAGAGACATCTTCAGCTGAGTTATGTCCTTCTCTTGTTCTCTCTTTCTGTGTTCAGCACTTGCTTACAGACGTGACAGTGTTGCTGAGATGGCAGTGAAAGAGAGGTCGTCATCACATTAGAATGACAATGCTTTGATGTGTCAGAGGCACCAAGCTTAATGGGCTCCCTGCGTTTCCCTCACACATGACATGATAGATTCAGTTACTGTGTTTCCATTTTTTTCTAGACCAGTGTATATTAAATACAAGGTAGTAAAACAATATGAACTGGCTTCAGTATTAAAGCCTTCTTTATTTGCTTGTAAAGCGTCTTTGAGCACAGAGAAAAGCAGTATAGTATCTCCAAGGCTTGTTTTACCATTATCAGTTAAACCCATAGTGACTGCACCTCCTAGAATTCCCCTAAATGGACTGACTTTCAAAAATATATTTGTGAAATTGATCATCAAGGCACAGTCAAAGCTACAGGCATAGTATTCTAAGATTAAAATAAAGTTGTACAAGAAAGGATATGCGATTCATGCCTTTTCGCATAGTTTTTTTCCGACTACTACTATCCCTACGGTAGAAGGGCAAATAAAGGACAGGAAGAGAAACAAGGGGAAAATAAATCAAAGCAACTGGAAGGGAGGAGCCAAGCAAGGATATGTGCAAAAATAGGATGAAAGAAGATAGGAAAAGTATTCAGGAAGAGATGAGAGAAACCACACTTGCGTGACGATTGTCCTCATCATGGACTACAGGGCTGTATTGCTGCCCTGCAGCATGCTTCCAGGCCTTAGCCCAGTTGGCTGGTACAGTCATGTGGAGAGCTAGAATATCACCCACTCCTACATACAAGAGGGATCGAGGAGGAAGGTGGAGGCGTGGGGGGGGGGGTCCGCCTTGTAGGATACTGTAGAGACTGGTAGTACGGAAAAGGGGTAAGTCATCCATAAAGAGGAAGAATGGTAAGGATTTAAGGGGATGAGAGAAGGGAATACAAGATATAAAGTATAGGGACAGAAGGATGAACACTGAGTAGTAAAAGGGTGGGGTTGAGTGTGAAGAGAAGAACAAGAAAATGGAAGATCAGGGGAAGGAACAGGAACAGGAGGGATGGATTAAGGAGAGCCCCAGGTGGAAGAGGAAGTAAAGTTGCCAGCTCTCCCCTTGGCATATGTCCTTGCCTGCGGGAGCACCCAAGGACCAGAGAGAGGGCAGCTGGTCCTCCGCCACGTCCAGGCCGGGAAGTGCCAAACATAGCTCCGTTATGCCAACGTTAGGCATCCCATGCCAGACACTGCTTTTGTGCGTAGGAACTCACGTCAGGCTATACCTTTGTGGAATTTCAGAGCATTAAGGGCAGCGTTATGTCGGCCATTTATTTATTTCCTTCTGCCAGCAACAATGAGTCGAGAACTTATAATAAACAAGTGGAATTACTGAGGACCCCTTGAACAGATTACGCTCCTTAAAGTGAAAAGTTATGACTTCAAGGCAAATTATTCTTATTTCATGCATTGTTCCAATACAATGTGTTTTGCATGTAAGTGAGTTTGCTATCTAAACGGACACTTATCATCATCAGAGTAAAGAATAAAAGTAATCAAAGTAAGGAAGAAAAAATCATACAAAGTGAAAACATGATGCCAAACGAGCATCTTTTAATATGCAATATAAGGCCAACACCTCTTATATACCCCAACTTCATGCTTACATAATCATTTCAAACTGACCTACAGCCTGCATGGTTTTCAGCTGGTTATTCAGTCATTTAGTTTGATGTTTTCCTGTTGCTGGGAGCCTATTCTCCAAACACTTAGTGGACAGTGCAGATGACAACATTTGTTTCATCCCCTCATCAGCCAATGACAGGCAGTGTTTTCCTGATGTAATCAGTGGTCATTAGGAAAAGGCATTCATTCCGTTATTTACCGCAAACTGGGTATAAAGTATTTATACTCTTGTCTGTATGTGAGACACACAGCTGGACATTACCCAGATATGTCTAATTACCAGGTGAACAAGGGACAGTGCACTGATTGTGTTTTAATGATTAATGAGATTTTAGATGACTTTCCTCTCTAACCCTCTTCTGTTTAACCTCTGGCTCACATCAGCTGTAGTTAAAGGCACATGTATAATGTGCCTGAGCCCGAATGGATCGATGTTTCTCGTCTCCAAAGAAAATGTTGTTTCAATATATTGAGCTGCTTGAGTAAACATTGAAAGCAGACATATCACTTACTAGGGAGATGAAGTTAGTGATATTCAGTCAAATCTTCACAGATGCTCAGAGTCCTTCAAACATATTGGCTTCAATTTACAAAAAAATGTAACTTAAGAAACACAGAAAAGTGAAACCTTGACATTGTTTATCTTATTAGCTACAAAACAAATGTGCCTCAAAGGATTTTACAACCTTAACATTATCGTGTAAGACACTTTCTTTTGACCCTCGGTTCAATTAATAGATTGCAGTTACTGTAGGTTACAATTTCTTATTGAAATGAATTATATTGAAATCTTTGCCAGGCACATAAACATTTTATTAACATTCTCTATCAAAACTTGTTAGCAGCTGGACAAGAGTGTCCATTCAATGGAAAGTGTGAGAATACACAAAAATCCATGAGGTAATTCATGTTATTAACTACACTGTCAATACATCATTTTCTCAATACTTTTCCCAAGTGCCACGTGAATAAAAAAAGGAAGAAAGTCAAATGAAAAACCTTGAAAATGTCAAGCTATTCTTTTAAATCTAATCTTGGTTGGAGGCTTGTTGAGAGGCAGAACAGAAGGAACTGCAGTCAATCTATTTTGGGGCAAATAGCACAGACTGAAGGTGCTTGCTTAGCAGCAAGTCAGACGCATTATGTTCAAAGTGCTTTAGACATTCTGCGTAGGTGTGTACGTGTAGGTGTGTGTATGTGTTAGAGAAGGAATGAGTACCTGACATGCTGTTCTTTAGCTCTGAGCATAGCTGCGTACTGTAGTCACTATATAGCACAACCTCAGAGAGACTAGGTTTCAGCTCCGTCCGGCTAGTAGGGATCCGAATGAACATAAAGGACTTTGTTCTAAAATACTGATGAACAATCACCCTTATTAGCTGTTGTTCACTTTTACAATTCATTTGATTCATGTCTATTCAGTTATGTCATGTCAATTCATTTGATTCATGTCTATTCAGTTATGTCATGTCTATTCATTTGATTAATGTTGCAAAATGTGTGTTCTTTTCCTTTTAGGCTGGAAAAAACGAATTCATCAAACAGTTTTAACAGAAAATAACCTTTATGAACTATTTTCATTTTCAAGCACAAGTTCTAGCCGTGACTGGTTTCTGGAGGAGGTTAACACATTGCTATTAGTTTTTTCCCATTAGCAGAAATAGAGAACATCTAAAAACAAAACGAAGAGTTCTTTATAAATTCTTCATTACTTCTGTGTTACTTGACAAATTGCAGTACAAAATGGAGTGAAGTGCGAGAAATACTAATAAATATGGGACTGGGGGAAGATGAAAAGGGAGACATAGAAAGATTGGAGGACATGTGTGAAGTGAGATGAGTGAAAATCCTGTAAGAGAATCTGAGCCAAAGAGTAAGAAGTGTTGGGAGAGAGCACCCTCTCTTTTCCCAAGTCTCTCCTCACAAGTATGTTTTGCCCAGTGTTACCATGGCAACGATGAGTCTTCCACACGCTGACCACACTCACACACACTTGCACACATAGTGTGTGAAGGGAAATTGCACACACACACACACACCCACACACACGCTGTAGCACCTGAACAGCCACGTGCACAGATAATGCAAACATCACCTACAGTAAAAGCTTCTATAGTCGGCTCGTGAGAAATGGCTCCGCTGATCCACTGTGCAATATATTCCTGCTATACAGAGTCAACGCATGAATTTATCATCAGCATAAGATTGATTATTACATTCATGTTTTTCAATCAAAAATGACACATATTCTCTTGTTCCCTAATTCTCCTTGATTTCTACGATAGTATATTAAGGAAATGCAAAGAACAAGAGAATGTGTCATTTTTGATTGAAAAACCTTAATGTAATAATCAATCCTATGCTGATATAGGGTTTCTAACTGTGAGTTAAACAAAACAAGCAATCTGAGGATTTCTCTTTGGTTCTGTGATGACAGTATGATAGGAAGAGTATTGATCAGAACAAAATGTTTATTAAAAAAACATTTCACATGCTGCTTTATCTATTGTTCACACAATCCATGTAGTCATCTTTAAATGGTGATACTGCCATGTTTACTGAACCAGTCAAAATTTGAAATATTCAATTACAGATTGCAATGGGTTGAGCCATATGCCTGAAATAAGTAAATCCACATCTGACTCCATCTTACTCATCTACCGCCCTCCCACACATAGCAACCCTTCACCTGCTAGCTGTTTAATTATCACTAGCAGCTATTTCAAGCCTTACATTGGTTGCACTGCGCAAAAGAAAAGAGAATTTCGTTGATTGAATAGATCACTGAACAAACAGTATAGAATTTGCCAGAAAACACATCAAAATATTGATGGAATTCAATCATAATGATATGCATGGAAGTCCACAACTCATGGCTAAAACAATCATAAAATACATTATAATCATCAAATGGTATAATAATATGTGTAATACAACCACTGGTAGAAAATAATATTTATTACAGCTAATATTTGGCTACATTTTAATTAAACATCCGAAAATCTTCCCTCTAGCCCCCAGATAAGGAAGGCGGTCTGCCGAAGCAGGTTGGCAACAAGACAGAGTGCGGCCTGCTGGGATTTCTCTTGGACCTGAAGCGGGATTACCAGCCAATCAGAAACCAGATCCCAGAGGAGAAGCTTTACAAAGTCTACACCTTCAACTCTGTCAGGAAGTCCATGAGCACTGTCATCAAATTGCCTGATGGGAGCTTCCGCATGTACAGCAAGGGAGCCTCTGAGATCGTCCTCAAAAAGTGAGTCTGGTTTTGTGTTTAAATGACATTATTCTGATATAAATAGTTGCACATAAACTTGTTCTACAGTAATATGCTGTAATAGTATTACAACAAGTGATGATCTTTTCAATGTTGTTACCAAGTGTACAGCTAATCCATTTGGAGTGCATAATATACTAATGGCATGCACATGCTCTAGGCATTGAGAATGGGCTGAGTTTCCACTAGAAGGTCACACAATTCTGATATTTTACAGAACACAACGATTACAGTACAGTAACAAATGAGAGGCAGTTATTAAGCTTCCTGCACAAACTAAAGGAAGTAGCATACATTGTCCTTTGAGCATGATTGATATAAAAAAAAACATTACATTTTAATAGATTGCATTTAAACTAAGGATTGGAAATATGTTACATACATTACATACATACATCGAGGGGTTATATAAAAAACATGTGTGTCCCAAATGCCAAAAGTCCTAAAATAACTTTGGAGCAAATCACAGTTAATTTGCTAATGACATACCAGAAATCCTTTATTCATTCCCGCTGTGGGACAAATAAAGGATTTCCGATTCCGATTATAGCAGGTGAATTTAATCCTTAATAATTTGGGAATTGCCTTTATTGCTTCCTAGCCGAGCAGAAGATAAATATATTAATAATCCTCCTCCTATTTTTCAATTAAATATCGAGCAGCCGGTTCATTTAGCCTAGCATAAAGTGGTGAATGGAAGTTTCACACTTTGGTTTTTGGATTAAACAAGTCAGATATAACGCAGTAATTAGTTGGCTTTAGAGTACCTGGTACTGTAGGTGGATTTTGTCAAAGCAAGGCTAGCTGTTGCTTTATGCTAAGCTAACCTGGTTGTAGCTTAGTATTGAAAGCACAGATATGAAAAGACAATAAACATCTACTCATGTGCTTCTTGGAAATAAAGCTAAACCATTCCTTTGAGTTGTCATATTTGTCTAAATGTGTGATGATCATTTAGACCAAAAGGTTTTCTTGTTCTTTCAAACTCACAGTGCATAGGCCATTATGATTTACGTATGTTGGGTCATTTTGACATCATTCTTCCAAAGTTACAGAACAGAATTGAATCCAACCTCAACTGTTAACGCCAACCTTAATTACAGATGCAGCCATATCCTGAGCGAGGTAGGGGAGGTGAGGGTCTTCCGTCCACGGGACAAGGACGAGATGGTGAAGAAGGTGATTGAGCCCATGGCGTGTGACGGCCTGAGGACCATCTGTGTGGCGTACCGTGACTTCTCCAGTGACCCCGAGCCCGACTGGGAAGATGAGAACAGCATCCTGAATGACCTCACCGCCATCTGTGTTGTTGGGATAGAGGACCCTGTCAGGCCAGAGGTAGGAGGCTGTGAGATGTTTGGGTGACATACTGAAACATTTCATATTGATCTTAATCTACAAACATGGTTATTGTAAGTTATTATGGGCAGTGAGTGCAATATCCGAGTGTGCACAAGCTAGATAGGCAGGAAAGTGAATGACATGATTAGACAGGGTTATCAAAATCTTGCAACAGAAACTTGACTTTTTTCTTGCAGAGGATTATTTCTAATTACTTTTTAAATATTCTGCTCTGTTGAAGGCAAACAAAAACACTATTTAAATAAGTGATGCATTAATAATTCATTCAAATCTTATACTGATGAATTGCACTTGAAGGAAAGGAGTAATATCCTTGGGAGAATATGGGATGGAAAGAATGTTCAGCGAGAAACTGACCTCACTTGACAGCTCCTGTGCAGGTACAGGGAAGCAGGAAGCTAACTGACTACTGCATTATTCAACTTCTTCCATCCCCCACCTCTCATCCAACCTCCCTCCAACACGTTTTTCTGTTTCCAACTCTCTCTGAATCGTACGCTTTGACTTGCACTCTTTCTCTTCACTCTCTCCGCACCTACCTTAAGCATCTTAACAGATTTAGATCAAATAAATGCAAAAAGAAGACCATCATCCTCAAAATGAACAAGCAAACATTATAATACACAACAATAAAAACTAGCGAGAAGCGCTTTTTGCATTACAGTGTTATATAAGGTAAGATGAGTGGAGATAAATATAAAATACACCATTTTATGATGAAAATAATCAATAAAAAACCTGAATATTGCAGATTGGAACTCCAATAATGCAGATGTCTGCAAATGATGCAACATCTGATATGTATTTATTCACACCTTATGTGTTAATATACTCCCTTGCATTGCACCAAGCCTGGCAGTTTGCAGCTTTTCATTTCTTCTTCAACTTTGAATCCAACATTTGTAATAACTGATGTGGAAAAGCATCGCACTGCTCGCTCCCTTGACATCTTTCCAGGTCTCTGAGTAAGACTGGCTAATATTGGAAAAGAGAGGATTTACGTTTTGCTACAAAGGTCACACAGAGTGGTAAACATGTTTTTGTTTATTAGTGTTTCGAATGCGATGTTATTTTTAATAAAAAGCTGCTCTATAGGTTTGCCCCCAGAGAAATTAGAGGGGAGAGAAGAAAGAGAAGAGGGAAAGATGTAGCCCAGGAAAGATAAACCGATTCTAAATCAGATTCATGTCAGACAGATGTCGGTCTGCAGGAGACGGGTAAGTGGAGGAACGGAGGAAAGGGAAACCAAATCCATATTCGAGACACGAGAGGCTTGTTTTTCAGTTTCACCTACTAGCCTCCCCCATCGGGCCAGATTGTATTTTTAATAAGCCTCCTCTTTCGGATCACCAGTCAACTAGAGCAGTGGGAATCCAAAGAAAAAAGAGTGAAACAGACAGCAGGGGTGACAGATAGGCAGACGGGAACTTGATAGCTTGATAACAATGACTTGGTGAGAGCAGAGAAGGCAGAGCTTAATAACTTGCTCCACTTGCCACAATATTTACTGCGAGATCTGAATTGAAAACTGACTTCTAACGGATGAATGGAGCTTCTTCTTATTGTTATTTTTGTAAATGCACTATTTAAATACTGATTATAATAAGCCTATGGGATTATTTGTGAGCAATATTGTTTTCATTTCTGGAAAAAATCAACTCTCTTGACTCATGGGAAAACTAGAAAAAGTTACCAAATTAATTATTTCATAAATTGGTTAAATCAGAAACACAACCCTGCTCACTTCAAAAAGCTATTTTGTCTGTTGTGACCAGTAGCGTATGACCTATGTAGGCAGACTTTAGGGAAATGCTGCTTTGTAATTCACATTACTGACTCAACTATACATTTTCTCCACTTATAATATATTTGAGTTGTTATACTACATATAGCAGCTGTAGAGCAACGGTTATTAGCTTTAAACAACAAGAAGATGTGTCTATTGTGTAAGGCACAGGGGTTAGTAAACATAACGTTCATATTTTCCATATCTTCTTTGACTCACACGAGACGGTAAGTTTAGCAATGTTTAGTCTAGCTAGCTAATGGGCATAGTATTTGTGATGGACAGGAGAATTTGGTGCAGCTTCCAGAGTATCCGACTCAGGCTACACTGATTACAGCGTCAGCCAGGAGAGCATCGAGCCCCGAGGGGAGCAGAGTCTGAGGAGGGTCAGCTGGAGGCAGGGGCAGAGAGACGCCCAGAGAGACGCCCAGAGATGTCCTGAACGAAGCAAAATGAACAGAAAAAAGAATATACAAGCAGAGGACAGTCTTGATGATTGAGAGGGATTATCGTTGTATGAATCTATAATATTTCTTTCACAAAAACCCTAACTTTTGTGCCTTAGAAGCTACATGTATAGTTAATGAGCCGTACATTATAATTATGAGATTTATTTTGTTTAACTTCCTGCTCAGTAAAGACCTTCCCTCCTCCACTGTATACATTAACTTTCTATTATGCTGTCTTTAAACTAACACATCTACGAGCAGCTTGATTTGGCTGTTTATTATGCCAACAGATTTACACATTGCATTGGAGGATTCATTTGGTCTTCACTCTTTTGTTGCCCTTTTCATGTGTGTGATTGTGAGCACAACAATGCTCCAATGGCTAATGTGTGTATGTGCTACAGTATATGCCCAAAGGAGGAAAAGATAGGTTGAGTCCCGGGCCTGTGTGCACGTGCACATGGATGTGAGTTGCTGTTACTGTATGTGCACACGTTTGTTTGACTGTGTGTGGGTTTGAGTGCAGCGCTCGCCCACACTGACCTTTGTCAGGAAGAAGATGTTTCTGAATGAATACTCTGCTTTTGCTTGCTGGTTATATCACAGATCAATCTGCTACATACAGTCACTTCTTCCACTCTATTAGTTTGAAGGGAAAAGAGAGATTCCATTCATATGTCATGTGTCATATATTATATTCATTTAACATTTGACAAAGTTAATGTTATGTTACTACTGAGGAATCAGAATTCTGATCAAATAAAACCAATTTTTGTTGTTGTCTATTTGAGGTTAAGTAAAAAAGATAGCTGTATTGTTTCAGCTGATATGCTCTTAAAACTACTATAATCCATATGTGAAAGTGACAATGAATGATTACGTGAATGTGAAAGGGGTTCATCAAAGTGTCTAAGAGAAACACCTTTACTGTTTGTGATTTAGTAATCCTCTCGTACAGTTGGGCTGTTTGCGATACAGCAGGCAGCTGTAATGTAGCCCTAAAGACTTTATATTGCCTTTCTAGCACCAAATGGCAGAGCTATGAAATATGTCTTCCTCTTTAGGTGCCTGATGCTATCTTGAAGTGCCAGCAGGCAGGCATCACAGTTCGCATGGTGACAGGAGACAACATAAACACAGCCAGGGCCATAGCCATCAAGTGTGGAATCATCCACCCCGGAGAGGACTTCATCTGCATCGATGGCAAGGAGTTCAACAGGAGGATCCGCAATGAGAAAGGAGAGGTACAGTAGCTACTTACGACTCGACAAATCTCCCTTTACATTTCAGTTAGTGTGGCTTAAGAATACAAAGTTCCAGCGTTTAATATGCGAATGTAGTAAGGCAGGGGTGTCAAACTCAAGGCCCGTGGGCCAAAACCGTCCCGCGACCTCATTTTACATGGCCCGCAAGAGCTTGCAAAGAATACAATTAGTGTAATTGTTGAATATTTGCTTTCAATTATTTGCCCTAGACTTCTGCTTTCAGGCGTAGTTATTTATGAAGTTATTACCAGAACTGATAATAATCCAATGCAGAGCCAATAATATAATATATATATATATACATTATTTAATATATATTATATAGTTATATATGTATATTTATATTATCTTAAAGTTACAACCGGCCCTTTGAGTGCAACCAGAATGCTAATGTGGCCCACGATGAAATTGAGTTTGACACCCCTGTAGTGAGGTATCACACACACATCTTAACGACAAAGCAGACAAATCTCAAATGTCTGGCCACGTCAAAAAGAACATGCTAAGTTTCAGCCTAGTGGCTTCCATCAGATCATGAAAGGAAATTAAAGTAATGTCCTTTTGTGTAGAGGAGTTAAAAGTGATTGGTTTTAAAGGTCACTTGGTAATTAAATTCTTAAGGTCCCTTTGACTCTGACGATTACAAAATGACTAAAAACAGGTGAAATATTCACTACGTTTCGAAGTAAATGACCATGTTACCTTTTTAACCTCTTATGTAGAACAGATATGACTCCCATTTTCTTTCCAGCCCTGATGAAGGCCATCAGGTCAAAACATAACCTTGTTTCTTTTGACGTGGCCAGACAAACTTGGTGGTATCTGTGTCTGACTTTTTACCTTTGGGTATTCAACGCTGGTACAGAAACCACTGTGAGAGAGGCTGAGCTAAGAACAAGAAAGATTCCCCTCAAACTACCTGACCTTTTATTTTTCTGTGTGTGTGCGTTCCCAGGTGGAGCAGGAGCGCATTGACAAGGTGTGGCCTAAACTCCGAGTTCTGGCCAGATCTTCCCCAACCGACAAACACACACTCGTCAAAGGTGAACTGGTTGCACTATTTCATATTCATTACTGTTGATAGAAATAAAACTCATCTCAACATTTTCTAAATACAATTGTCTCTCCGAAGCAGTAAATAACTGAAATTATTCGTCTAAGAATATTGTTGATCATGTGGGGTTATTTGTATTGAGTTACAATGTATTGAGTTATAATGTATGTGCACTGTGTGTTTCAAAGGCATTATTGACAGTACCTTAGGAGACCAGAGACAGGTGGTGGCTGTGACAGGAGACGGGACCAATGATGGACCTGCACTAAAGAAAGCTGATGTCGGCTTCGCTATGGTGAGCAAACCCTATTTTCTCTTTTGCTGCCCTTTGAGATTGATCTCAGTCAACATCTGCAGATATCTTTTGTAGGGTTCCTCTCAGGCCCTCTGCCTCTAGCTGTATAGATTAGGAGCTCCCCCTGGTGGATTTCTGAACTCATTCAATTCCTCTGCAATACATACCATAATACGTTTTTGCTACTTCTGCAACGACTTAAAAAACAAAATTCAAACAAACTAAGTCTTTTACTCTTGTAACTCTCAGCTTTATATGTATTTGTCATGCAGCTGTTGTACTGTTTCATCTGTTTCTGTTGTCTCCCTAATTAAATAATTTGGCTCCTCCACATCCATTTCCTGCTTGATTCAATAATGAAGACAGTGATTTCCGTACTTTTGTTCATGCTTGTTCAGCTGAGCTCAAGTTCTTCTTCATTGTCGCCACCTGTCTTGCTTGAAATATAACTATTTAAGTGAATTTTAACTGTTTAAACTCTTAATTGATTTGGTAATCTGATTCATGATAAATCTGAGGAGTCTCAGTTGTAAGGTATAGACCACTCTTACATGCTAACTCACTAACATTTCCTCATATGTGGCATTATTTTGATCACCACTATGAACACTGTTGAGGTGCTGAGCCCTGATACTCGTCCTGTAACTCACCAGAGATGACAGAATATCAAGGAGGGTGCCCTTGATATGGAGCCTACCAACACACCAACGCCTTCATTAGTCTGCATCATCATCATTATTCATCATTAGAGCTGACTTGTGTCTTCAGTCCAGTTTTCTCCAGTGGCTACAAAGATCTCTTTCAATGTTCCTGTGGTTTTTGATAATGCAGTATGATGCAATAGATACTAGTTCTGACTGCTCCTTTTCTGCTCTCCTCAGGGTATCGCTGGTACAGATGTGGCCAAGGAGGCGTCAGATATCATTCTGACTGATGACAACTTCAGCAGTATCGTGAAAGCAGTAATGTGGGGCCGCAACGTCTACGACAGCATCTCCAAGTTCCTTCAGTTCCAGCTCACTGTCAACGTCGTGGCCGTCATAGTGGCTTTCACCGGCGCCTGCATCACACAGGTCAGCGGCGTGTGCAGTCACTGGCACAAACAGTTGGCTGGTTACCATTGGCAACAATTCAAACACATTGGCAACCAATGATTTGGCTGTATTTCGTATACCAGGAATTGAGGGTGAACATATTTGTGTTATCAGTCAGATAACACAAATTGTGTAAGGTATCACTTAAACACAAACAAAGAATGTGTTTGGACGTCTGGCGTCTCAGGGTTATTGAGTGGTTCTTCCTTCATGTCATATTTGAATTAATACAAATTACTAGGGGTGTAACGGTTCACAGAAGTCACGGTTCGGTTCGTACCTCGGTTTGGGGGTCACGGTTCGGTACGTGTTCGGTACAACAAGGAAAAGCAAAAAAAAGTCCCAAATGCATAATTTTTTTTGCTGTTATTTATTTTTAACAGTCGTGCAAGTTTTGGTATGAAAATAAGAAACTCTAACATTTGGAATCATTAACTGTATTACACAGTTAAAAACAAACCACAAACAGTAACACACACACACTCAGATGGCCATATTATTTATATTGGCTGATGTCAAACAAAAAGGTTAAATAATCTGTACAACTAAAAAGAATGTCTTGAAAATGTTAAAATAAATAATAAGAAAGTGTTTCAATCACAATCAATAAAAGGCAATACAGAACTGTATAACATCTCCTGATGTCAAAATATTAAATAAATACAATGATAAATATAAAACAACAATACAATCTGTACCTTTAGGAGCAATGTCTAACATGTGTAATTAACTTGTGAGTGTGTGAGGCCATTATGCCTAAATAAAGGTACTCAAGCTTTACTCTATTTTCAAGTTGTTCTTCAAAAAGATGAGTTTGTCTACATTGTCAATAGTGAGGGCAGATCTGTTGGCGGTAACTATGTCACCTGCCGTCGAGAAAACCCTCTCGCTGGGGACTGAGACTGACTCGGATGTGATTGAGCATGTTTGACGTGTTACCACTAGCATACCGCACCGCTGTCGAACAATGCCGACACACCGTCGACACACCGTCCTCCTCCGATTCACAACTCGCACCCCATCATTGTTGTAGTCCACAGGGAACCCAAAATGTTCCCACACACCTGATTTAAAAGAAGTAGGTGGGTCTTCTAGCTCCTGTGTGTTGTGTGAACTCGCCATATTAGCTACTAACTGTTCTTCTTCATGTATTGTGTTCGTTTTGTTGTGTTTTGTTCTTGTTCTTCATTTGTTATTTACGGGCGGCTGGCTTTTAGGCGCAATACCGCCCCCTGGATTATATAGTGTAATACTGCCCTAGTGACAGACTTTTTTCCCACTCGTAAAAAAAGGCGTATTCGCCGTGTAACTGCATGTGCCGAACCGTGACGTCCGAACCGTGACGGTACGGGACGAATACGGATACCGTTACACACCTACAAATTACATATAAATGCATAATCCAGGTCGTCGCACGCATCTCTGCTTGTATAGCTGACATCTCTCAGTGGATGTCTGCTCATCACCTCAAGCTCAACCTTGACAAGACTGAGCTGCTCTTCCTTCCGGGAAAAGATTGTCCCACTCTTGACCTAACGATCAACATCGGCACCTCAGTTGTTTCCCCGACTCAGACTGCAAGGAATCTGGGTGTGACCCTAGATAACAAACTATCCTTCACTGCAAACATCGCTGCTACAACCCGTTGCTGCAGATACACGCTTTACAACATCAGGAAGATACGTCCCCAGCTGACACAGAAAGCGACTCAGGTTCTGGTCCAGGCTCTCGTCATCTCACGCCTAGACTACTGCAACTCCCTCCTGGCTGGTCTACCTGCATGTGCCATCCGACCTCTGCAGCTCACCCAGAATGCAGCGGCTCGTCTGGTCTTCAACCTTCCTAAATTTTCCCACACCACTCCGCTCCTCCGCTCCCTTCACTGGCTTCCGGTAACTGCTAGAATCCACTTCAAGACACTGGTACTTGCTTACCATGCTGCGAATGGATCTGGCCCTTCCTACATCCAGGACATGGTTAAACCGTACACCCCAGCGCGTGCACTACGCTCTGCATCAGCCAAACGACTCGCTGCACCCTCGCTGCGAGGGGGACCCAAGTTCCCATCAGCAAAAACACGTGGGTTTGCTATCCTGGCTCCAAGATGGTGGAATGAGCTCCCCATTGACATCAGGACGGCAGATAGCTTGCACATCTTCCGGCGCAAACTGAAAACTCATCTCTTTCGACTCCACTTCGAGCGTTAGAACTATTAACGAAGCACTTATATACTAATAAAGGACTGGCTTATCTAAAGCCAGTTGAGTAGCACTTGAAATGTTTGGCTCTATGAAACCTGATGTACTTATATGATTCTGTTTTCTTCAAGGTTGTGTCTTCCTGGTCGAATGTACTTATTGTAAGTCGCTTTGGATAAAAGCGTCAGCTAAATGCAATGTAATGTAATGTAATGTAATAATCACTTTTAATCTAAGGTGACTAAAATTGCAACAGTGTTTTCAGGTTCTTCAACCCAAAGCTGATATTTCTTAAAGTCAGTGTTTGGTCTCTGTTGTGTGGGCACGTGATTGGGTTTTACTTGCCTAACTAGTCTACTCTTTAATCCAAAAGCTTTTGAGTGCAATCCTTAAGCAAATATCTAGTCAAACAACCGAGGTAATGAAATACGAGTGTGTAAAGACAGTAAATGAGTTCCAACAGAAGTATTGGTTATGAATGACTTCTCACCCCTGGGAGTATTGAATTCATTGTTTTTTAATTGCAATTGACCTTGTATTTCCGCAGGACTCCCCCCTGAAGGCTGTGCAGATGTTGTGGGTGAACCTGATCATGGACACCTTTGCCTCCTTGGCCCTGGCCACAGAGCCTCCCACCGAGTCTCTGCTGAAGAGGAAGCCGTACGGTCGCAACAAGCCTCTCATCTCCAGCACCATGACAAAGAACATCCTGGGACACGGAGTCTTTCAGCTCATCATCATCTTCACGCTGCTATTTGCTGGTACGGACTGCAAGTTTGCTCTGCAATACAACAGGAGTTCTGCACCTTAATGATGTGACGTAAAAAGGCTCAGATGTAAAGTCCTCATAGTAATTGTCTTGTTATCCCCTCCCCCTTGTAGGTGAGAAGATCTTTGACATTGACAGCGGGCGTAATGCTCCTCTCCACTCTCCTCCATCTGAGCACTACACCATCATCTTCAACACCTTCGTCATGATGCAGCTCTTTAACGAGATAAATGCCCGCAAAATCCACGGAGAGAGGAACGTCTTCGATGGTATCTTCAGGAACCCCATCTTCTGCACTATTGTATTTGGCACCTTTGCTGCGCAGGTACGCAGATGCAAATGATTTGACTTCATTATTATTTTTTAAAAGTTGGTTACCGGTTGAAGTAAGATGAAACTCTTTTTTCTCTTCGCTTGCTTTGTGTAGATTGTGATTGTGCAGTTTGGAGGGAAGCCATTCAGCTGTCAGCCTCTGAACCTGGAGAAGTGGATGTGGTGTATTTTCCTCGGGCTGGGAGAGCTTGTTTGGGGACAGGTAACATGCAAACTCCTCTGTTTTATGTCTCTCTTTCTTCACTTCACCACTGCCTGTGGTTGTTCTTTGCTTTTGTCCTAGTTTTGCTTTATTTACACTTTCCATGCAATCTCTACAGCAGGGCTATTCAATTAGTTTGGAATGGGGGCTGGTTGATGAAAATGATCCAAAGCAAGGGGCCGGGAAAAAGATGGCTTGAAATATGAGCAATCATATTAAGAGCTTCAGATACAGTAAATACTACAACAGCATAGTGGAGTGCATATATTGTGTTTAATTCAATCAAACAACATAGCCCCAAGGCCTTTATAGATCTAACTGGCAAGTCCAGAACTCAGTAGGCCTACATGTGAAGCTAATTTAACCATCAACATCATTTCATTTCATTTAGGTGAAATTATCTAATCATTCACGCAGGGATTGTCACTACAGTAGCTAGTAGGTGGGTTTGAAACCCGAGCCCTCCCAAGTTTTCAGGTAATGTCCCCTCTATCTCTCAATGTAACACCCTCTCTGGAATAAAGGCACTCTGGCCCAAAAAAAAATCTTTAAAAAGAAAATTCATTAAAAAATAAATAAAGTAGATTACTTTTTAACATTATACTCAAAGGGCCAGTAAATATCACCCGCGGGCCGGCCCGCCAATTGAATAGCCCTGCTCTACTGTATGCTTTTCCCCTTTTTAACCCAGTCTTTGGACTTTCTCCTGGCTAGGTGATAGCCAGCGTCCCCAACAGCAAGTTGCGCTTCCTGCGGAGGGCAGGCCAGTTAACTCGGAAAGATGATTTACCAGAGGAGGACACGAACGAAGATAATGACGAGATTGACCATGCGGAGAGGGAGCTGAGGAGAGGACAGATCCTCTGGTTTCAGAGGACTCAACCGCATTCAGACTCAGGTGAGGACACAAGTTCAATCCCTGCGTTGTTTCACTTCACAGAGAGTCTTTACTGGATTGATTCTGCTTGAAAGAAATAACATTTACATCATTGAAATTCTACTCTAATCAGTCGTATCATTAGTTAACTACTTGTTTTGCAATTATATTTCAGATGTGATTTATTTCCTGACATAGCTTTCTGATAACTTGTTGTCTGTCTTTGTCATACAATTCAACATTTAAGACACCACCTCAGAGGCTCAGAAGACTATGTGATATGTTCTTCACCTTAGTCAGTAACAGCCTTAAAGTCATTGTATCACAAGCTGGTTTATTTAGGTACATGAAGACGCAGCCGTCTCTCGCTGGACTGAGGCGACCGGCTGTGTGGAAGATGGACGGTCAAACCTCAGGAGTTAAATACAACCAGACAAGTCACTACTCTGTGACCCCTCTGCACACCGTTATCACTGTGATTGACAAGACAGTTCTGCTTGTGTGTTGGACTTGATTTCATTTCACTGATGTGTCACTACTGGTCCAGGGTGAAGCTATCCACGCGACAGGATACTGTGCACTGCAGACAGGGTTTTGGAACAGTAGAGATACACTTTCTCAGTACTTAAGGTTCAAATCAACTCAAATCTGTATACAGGCTGTATGCTATAAACATGCAAATTATGATGACTCGTATTTTGTGAGTTGAATTACCCTGGATAATCCACACAATATTCTATCAGTGGTCTTCATAGGTTTTCTTTCTCAGTACAATGTAGTTCTATTAAAAACAGTGAGGTCCATGGATTATTTTTGGAGCACACTAGGACAATGTTTTTGAAGAGACACTGAATTTATCAATTGATTAGACACAACTTTGACTCACTAGATCTGCCCAAATAGAGGATTACAATCTAAAAACGATTTTGAAAACTCATTTAACTCCATAGTATTTGGTTGAAGGCATTATATCTTAAGATGAGGTAAGAAAGATGTAATTAAGGTTGTTTTAACTGTTCAAATTCAACATTGTGTTGAGGGGATGCTACACCCTGACCTTTAGCTGTGTCCCCCCCCCCCCCCATCGTGTTATGTTTGAGACACTGTCAAAGTCACTCAGCCAGTCAACCTGTGTTGCCATTTGGTCTCTGTCACTATGAGCAGCCATTTGTCCTCTTCTGTCCCGCTCTCCTCCCACAGATTGACGTAGGTCAACACCTTCAAGAGTGGCACGTCCTTTCAGGGGGCGGGGGGCCCTGAGACGCCAGTCGTCCACCACCAGCCAGACCCAGGATGTAACCAATGTTTCTAGTCCTAGTCACGTGTCCCTTGTCCAATGCCCTTTCCTCTCCTACAAGCACTACTGCTGCTACTGCTCCTTCCACTACTGGCCGTGAGTCAGATCTCTGTCAGTCTGCTTCTCTTCTCTCTTTGCTTCAGAGGTGCCATCATGTCATGAACAAAGGGGGTTTTTTTCTGCACAATTTCTGCCTTTTTATCCTAAAATAGATGACCATGACAGTATCCATTTGGGTTTGGCATCTCTGAAGGTTTTGTCTTCCTTTTTTTTCCTTCTTGCTATCTGCTTATTTCATTTCCGTTCTCTCTTCTGTCTTTTTGCTGTTCATACTCAAGTTCAAATTTCATCTTAAAATCTCCTCCCGTGCTTTGGTGTACTGTCGTCTCATTGGGTGAATGTGTGTTTGTTTCTCAGAGTGCTAGGAGCGCAGGACTAAGGGTGATACCCACGGCGTGACATTTCAGGTTGTGAGTTTGTCTCCCTCTGCTCATTCACCATCCACCATCCCATCCTACAATCATTCCATGTGTATGTCTTGACGGACATTAATGTGAACTTATTCCAATCAACTCACCAAGGGACTGGGTAAACATTCAAGTATAAGTCGCCATGTTGTCTGGTTTTATCTGTGAGTTTGCTAGTGATGGGGCAAATCACTCTGAATTGAGCTGAAGCAATTTTGTAGGTGCTATTTCATGTATTCTCTAGTTGACTCTGTATTGACAGGAAACAATAATGGAAGCTACGCAAGACTTTCTAAAAAAACGAGATTTTCTTTTAAATGACATTTTAGGGGCACAACTCAAATCTACAGTATCAGTGACTATGCCTGCTTAATATATTGTAAATAGTCTGTAGTGCCCTGGTGGTTTGTACACACACACACACACACACACACACACCACACACACACACACACACACACCACACACACACACCACACACACACACACACACACACACACACACACACACACACACACACCCACAACACACACACACACACACTGTGTGTTGTCTCTAATCTACTTGACAAAAAACTGATGTAAAACGTGGACATGGTTTGAGAATCACCAGAAAGCAGCGCTGCACCAATAATTCATCCCGTCTTGTAGCTTCAAACTGTCGGTGTAGTTTTCTGTCATGTTGCCATAGTTACCGACATCGATCCTCTGCAGCAACAGCGACGTAAATCTTACCACCCCCCCTCCTTTTCTGACACCCCATCAGTGTTACTTGTCAGACATCCTGTCACATGCACTCATCCCGACAGGCTCCTCTTATTCTTTGGTTTTGCTGTTTTGTCTCCTTATTCCCTGCTCTGCCACATATTTAGGGCAGCAGTGCTAACATATTACAGTACATACAGTATTTGTGTACATTTGCATAGACTAACATGAAATCTGTTAACTGTTATTTTTTCATTTCGGCCTAAAATATATATCTGTAAATACGTACATTATGTTTCTGCATTTTTTTCATCAAAAATAACGTAACTATTGTTTTTTCTCTCAATTTAACAATTAGTGGAAGCATTTCACTGACATTTCAACATTTCAGTATTTCCACGGGTTTTAAATGTTCCCGTAGTAAAAAATATGTTTGTATTGCTTAAGCTTTTTTTTCATCCTTCTAAAAACAAGATCTTATCCATGTAGAATAATCAGACACAATGACGTGATACACCTTATTTAGCTTTTGTATACATCCCAGCTGCCATGAGTAATTGCCCTGTATAAAAGCATCAAATAATATCTTACAGTACAGATACTGCTGTCAATCCTCACCAGTGTTGGGCAAGTTACTTCCAAAATGTAATATATTACATATTACTTATTACTCTCTTTTGAAAGTAATAAGTTACATTACAATATTACTGTCTCTGAAATGTAATGAGTTACACTACTTTAGTTACTTTTGAGTTACTTTCACCAAAATAACCTCAAAAGAATGGCTAGTTATTTTAAATGCTAAAATGTGGTTTAGTGCAGCTCATTATACATCCAGTGAAGGGCGATGTGGTTTAGCATAACAACTGTGTAGGCCCTTAAGGCTACTAACAACTTGTATTACACGGCTTAGTTGAATACTCGATTCTGATTGTAACTTCTTAACATGTGACACATTGTTAATACAGTACAGACCACTGTCAAGGACTATAATGAAGGTTGCTAAGGAGGATCCAGAAAGAGAAAGGAAAAGAGGTTAAAAGACAGAGCGCTGGACGTCAGATAAATCACCAGAAGAAGGCAGAGAGGAAGTAAACACTAACAGGACACGGAATGGGCTCTGTATTTTGTTTAGTATGGCCGTGTACAGGCCCGGTTCCAGAACAAAATGACTCAGGGTGCCTCTGAGATTACAGGGGGCGCCGCAGTAGTATGTTTACATGAGCAATAGTGGCCGGCAACAGCAATGAAAAATAGCATTGATGATCCCCAATGAACAGATTATGGCATTTGTTATGTTTTGAAACCAAGCAACTGAGAACATTTCAAGTGAGTTAAAAGTGCAATCCTGAAATATTTCATATAGTCCAAAGTGGACAATGGTAAGGAAAAGCACAAAAGCTTCAAAGCTGTACTGATAAAAGAAATGAGAACATATTGTAAATTAAGGCAAATATTATTTGAACCAGCTCATGGTTTGTAATGGCAAACATTGAAAAGCAAAAGTATTATTAAAACCATATCACTTTGGTCCCATCATATATTCTGGGAAGAGAATATTTACTGCGCTTGAAAACTGGATCACATCATCATGTGAGGTTGACTTTGTGACCTGGAGAACATTTCAGCTGCAACATCAGCTCGTTGATAAGCTTGGGATATGAGATAGTGTTGTAGCCATTCGTGGTGAAGGCATCTGTGCTATTGTATGCATTATTTTTGACCCAACATTTCTCCAGGCATGGCAGAATATGGCACTATTTTCACATGAATATTCTAGCCCTTGTCTATTTGTATAGCACGAGCTGCAAAATGACCACCTAACCCCACTGTACAGGCGGGTACTTGTTTAGATATACCTGGGCAGGCTCTGTTTTGCCGTGGTATCCTGGCACCTGCGGGCCGCAGAGGGGCGGCGTAGTTTCGGGCGACGAAGACTGCTGCTCCGGGGGCGAGTCAGGCGGGAGTAAGCTAGTGTCCACAACGGAGGGTAACGTGATGTCCCCATCTGACCTGTTGCTACGGTCTGCAGTAGATGCAGTGTTGCTGGCGTTTAGTGATGGTTGCTTTAACCATTTTCGTATAAATGATTATCCACAGATGTGTGTCACTGCTGTGGAAGCACTTTGGAAATGATGCACGCGCAGCGGAGCAGGTCACGCGCACCTGACACAATTTGTTGTTTGTATTTTTCGCTCCGTTCTCTTTTTTGAATAGAGGGTGCATAACATTCAACTGCCCCGAAGATCCCGACGCAAAGCCTGAAGGGTAAACACCAGGTTTACTAATATACCCGCACAATTTGTCTGATGTCCCGAATGTCTCGCTATGTTAGTATATTCTTAAAAAACAAAACACCATTTAATTTCGGGTTAAAATGTGTTTGTAACTGCGTTACTGGGCATTGTAACGGGTAATATATTACCCACATTTTCATAAGTAATGCGTTACATTACTTCGTTACAGCAAAAAGTAATATATTACTGTAACTCCGTTACTTTTGTAACGCGTTACACCCAACACTGATCCTCACTGAAGGTTCTCGTACAGTAGTGGGTTAGGGCCTATACTTGAGTGTTTACTTAGATGTGCATGGAGTTGAAAGCTGTCACACCTCTGACAGTTACCTTATTATTTTCATCACCCACTTCCATATGTTTTGTGTCAGCAGTCTGTGTGCTGGTGTCCACATTCCTGTTGTCTTGTTGCATGTTGTTTGAGTTTATTACTTCCTGTGGTCATAATATCCTAACCTGCTGTGTTCGCTCTAAATGCCACTGTTTTATTCATTTTTTTGGGCGTGTCGTTTGTTGTGAGTTTAACTGTAATGCTCGTGTTGAAGCAACTCCTCATGCAGAGCTTGCCTCTCCATTGCCCTGTTTGGGACCATGCTTACCCACCCTGTGCTTTCTGTGTGTGTCCCATTCAGAGTCTGTGGATATTTTACCAGACGTTGCTCTGGTACCTAACAGAAGTTTTTAAAGCACCTGATTTGGATCTCTCAGATCTCACTTCCTTCCTTCTTACTGACCTCGTCCACCAGATTTCTTCAACCTTGCATGTGACATTCTCCTTAAATGTTTTCTGTGAGCATTCCATTTATTACGTGGCTTGTTTCTAGGTATACAGCACATTGGACTAAAGCGTATACTTACAACGAGCGTTTGTGTTGCTTTGGTATTCGTTTTTCTTGAAATGTATGATTTTGTTATTTTTTATGATTGTTTTCCTCACGGCTTTTCTAGTGCACGCCAAAATTGAGTGATTTGTGAACTGTGGTCATCTTGTGAAAGCAGAACACAGACTGAAGTTACTTTCCCTCCTTCTTTACCTATTTATCCTCAACTGAGAGGTCCGCTCCTTCCCCTCTGTCCCTTCTCTCCTCCTCCTCTCTCCTCATCCCGAGGGTCCCACCCTTCCATTGTGTTTATTGCATCATTTCTCATTGGTTTTCTTCTTTGTCCTCCCTTTTTCTTTTTTTACAACAGATCCGCGTTGTGAATGCATTCCGTAGCTCCCCTCTATGAAGGCCTGGAAAAACCAGACTCCAGATCATCCATCCACAACTTCATGACACACCCCGAGTTTAGGATAGAAGACTCCACGCCCAACCTCCCCCTCATCGACGACACGGACGATGACTCCGCTCGGAGGAGGGGGAAGTACTCCAGCCAGCCCTCGTCCCCCAACAAGAATAACACGCCATCGACAGTGGCATCAACCTCACCATCGACACCAGTAGATCAGCCGCCTCCTCCGGCCCCGCCACCCCTCTTCACAGCCTGGAGACCAGCCTCTAACCCCCTTCCTGACCTCCGCTCTGACCTCTCAAGTCCTTTCCTTGCAGTCTGGGGGAAAACTCCTCCAATACCTGCCACATCTTTAATCTGCAACCCCAAAAATCTCCCCTGTCCAGTCCACCAAAACCCATTTACTCCCCTACACAGGACACATCCTGTGGCAGATTCTCCTTCTCCCCCCCCCCCTTTTAACCTTGAGCTCTTAAAGTTCTCCTCTCCGCTCCTCTCGAAAAGGGGGAACACGAAAGTAATATGACGGTGAAAATAAAGTTATCATACAATCAAAAAAGCGCAAAAAAGCCATGTGTACCATGGCGGAGGGGGGGGGGGGGGGGGTGGTGTTTATGATTATATGAGTGTTAGCATGTACTGAATAAAAGGGGTGCCGCTGACTGCACATATGTATGAAGTGTGTCTTTAGTGGCACCGGGAGGAAGACGATGAGGAGGGAGACACTGCTGAGGAGCAAAAACACAAAACAGGACGGACTCTAAACTCCCCTCTCCTCATCAATAACATTGTCAATACTGATAATAGTTTAAATTAAATTGAGAAACATTGTTATTATATGATTCCGATTATTATTGTTATTATATATTGTTGCTCCTGCATGAAGTACATTGCCCAAGTTTTATTTAAAGGGTTTTAATTTTATTGGAGTTCTTTGGTTCTGATGGGCTAGTCCTCCGCGGCGGACTGCTATTTTAAAGACGGCTTCTCCGAGCTCCTGGCCTGCGAAGCCCCCTCCTCTGTGTGGCATGAACATGTACCCGACTGTAAAAATGTGTTTCATCCATAAAACAGAAATGTGTTACGAGGTGGTAGGGCTCAACTTGCACAGTAGTTTTGCACCTGTCGGAAAGGGAGGAACGCAAGATAATAATGATGATGATAGCATTTATGGGATATATTCTATAAATATAATACATATAAATATATTTAGAGAGAGTTTATCTTTGTTGTCGGCATGTTGCCTTGTTCCTGCTTCAGTGGCTCAAATACTTTGAACTTATTTATGTCTTAAAGAGAATGTAATTTGTTTACAACCTCGTAGAGATAAAGTTCCTGGTTCTAGAAGGAGAGGCGGAGCTGAAGCTCAGAAGGACCAGAGCTGTTGTTGATGTGTGTATTACTGAAAAACCATGTGCTGGAATTGCCTGCTATCTTTTCAATTATTTGTAGATATTTTTAGAGGATTAACAAACAAAAAGAAGAACCAAAATATATTGGGATACGTAGTCAATGTGGAACTTATTAGTATTACTCTATATGATTGTTGGGATCAAGTAGGAGTGGCTTTGCCTTTCTAAACGGAGGCCTCCTTTTTGTGACAGAGGGGGAATATTTCATTCTTTTTTTCACTTCTCTTTTTTTTATTGTGTTTTCTTTTCTGTGCTTCAGCGCTGGCCTGGGGTTCAGGGCTCGAGTCAAAGGCTGATATCAGGACCTTTACAGTGAACTGTCTTCTAGATAAACCTGCTTGTTCAAAGGACTTGATGTTTTAAAATATGTGTGACCATCAAAAAGGCTGCAATCGAGTCATATTAGAAAGCTGCAGAGTTATATTGGGCTTATCTATGCCGCATGGAAATCCGACTTTTTTGTTTTTGTTAAAATTTGGAATATATTGTATTGTTTATTTGTTTATTAATTATGATTTATTTCCATTTCCTCTAGCAGTGTGCACACGCAGCTCCACAAAGCTGTTGGCATTTTTAACATCTATAAAAGAAAAAAAAGGAAAACTGACACACACAAAAAAACTAACTTACAACAAACATGGAATGTTGCTTTGACTCTTTTATATATATAAAAAAAGACGATCCTTTTCTGCACTATCTGGTTATGAATGAAATCTTCTGTGGTGTAATTCTAGATGTGCTTTTGTGTGTTTTAACCAAGCTTGTCTTCCTGCCGTCACAGAATATACAGTACTCTAGCATCTCAACTGTACTCACTAGTTGTAAACTATTTATTGTGCTTTGACCAATCAGACATTACAGAGAGAAGTTACATACAGAAGACACATTTACCATTCTTATTGCACTCCGAAGGACAAGGCCACTTAACTAACCTGTACTATTGTTATTTCTAATACTAACCCAAGTCATTGGCAAGCATGACGTGAAAGGCTCATTATGCAACTTGAGAAAATAGACGATTTTTCTACTTAAAATAAATCCTATACAGTACTTCAGTATATACAATCATTTATCGGAAAATCCTTTTTTTCCCTTTTTTCTATCCTCCTCTGTCATTTCCAAGTCGATCCGTCCATCTGGAGAGGTGCACAAGCTTTACCAGTCAGCTCAGGCGTGTTGAAAAATAACATGGACCATTTAAATAAACTGTCTTCTTTAAGTTGGGGGAAAAACATCTGTATATTCTGCTTAGAAGCTGTTGATTTATTTTGTTTCCTTTCCAATGTTTTAACTTGACAATTTATTTGTTTATTTGTCTGTAAAAAATGTAAAACAATAAACAAAACAAAAAAACAGCAACAACAGCATTTTCAATAAAAAAAAAAAGAAAGACTAAAGCCAACATTCTCCAACCACTTTTACATCCAGGAGGACATTCAGCTTTCAGAGGATGCAAAGACGACACGTTTCAAAATAATCTTTGTAAATACAGCAATGAGTCCACTGAGGACAGAAACTCCATGCGGACTGGTGTGAAAACAGGAACTCTTCCCGACTACATCTACCATCATGCACCACAACTCAAGTCATACTGCCGACACAGCTGTTTGGCTGTATGTAATCAATCGCTGCTCCTGTCAGAAACACTTCAAAACATCATGATTACATTGAGTGAAAACACATGTAACAGCCAATAATTATGTTGAAGATGACATTGGCGATGATGATTAAGGTTGATGATGATTAAGGTTGATGATGATGATATCAATGATACTTCTTGCAATATACTCTCACCTGCCTCGATGTATTTAGCAGCATGCAGTTTGTGGAACAAAGAAAAAGAGAAATGCCATAACTTGTTGGCATACTTTATGGGTAAGTGATTTAAGTGTTCATCTTGTTTTTATGATATTTTTTTTAATCTATACAATAATTGTAAATAAAGAAACTCAATGTCCTTTGTTCATTTAATACTATGCAAAAAGTCATGCTTTTCTGATTGTTACCCACCCTTAATCCTAGAGTGTGTTGCTGGAATGTTTGTGGTCTCAAAAGTCAGTAAAAAAATGTGATGTCAATTATTTTCTAGCTTGAGGAAAAAGTTAAATGATGATGAAAATGATTATTATGATACCATGAGGACGTTGACAACAATGGTGGTGACAGTGATGATGATGATGATGATGATGATGAACTGTGACTCTTGCTGCTTGACTGTCCCATTTACCACACTCCTGACAGGAGCGCAAGTGAAAACCATAATAAAAAGAAAAATCATTTAATAAATCTCCCAGAGCAGCATGACCCAGCATGGTGTGTCCTGGCCCTGTGTCACATGTCCTGTTCTGATTCGTTGTGGCTTCACCTCTCGGTGTCCACTTTGATTGTGTTTCCATTTCATTGTTGTGTTTATAAAAGGTTATGCTTATAGAAGATGTTTGGGGCTTTTCCGTGGGAGTTTAACACATCCACATGCCTTAAAACATCCGCCGCCTGCAGCATGCCAAAGTGTTTTAATGGGAACGGAGGGGAGGGTTGGTGTTTAAGATTAGCAGGTTTCATTTATACCATGGTCACCTTCTTAGTTTAGAACATTCTAACATGTTAACATTGGCACTACTGTAAACTCAAAATACAGTAGAGGTCGATGGGCATTCGTTTTGCAGATTAAAAAACACATTTGCAGGTATTTGCTCATAAACCAAAGTGTTGCATTCATTTATTTTTTCCCCTGAGATGGCTTTAGATATAAAGTCGGCCATTTGTGTGTTTTTTTTAAATTCCCTCTAATCTTTTCACAATCAAATTCTGACCTGTTCCGTCATTTAATGATTGAGGGTATTTTAATGAGTCTGATTCATTATGCAACCACTTTCCTTAAAGCTATATATATATGTTTTAAATATGTTACCTTTATAGTATTGCCCATATCACTGTAGTGGTTATATTTAATGTTGTAATTATCACACTCATCGCTACACATTACTCTTCTGTGGTGTCTGAAGAACATCACAGCACTGACTTAATCTTCTTTAGGTTTAATTTAAAATGCCAGTGTCAGTATCATTTTAGACTCGGGTTGTGGACAGGCCCAACCCGTCTGCCCATGAGAGAGGGATCAATGTGTGGCCAGCATGTGCCAAACATACAATTACTGAACATCAGAGTGATGGCTTGTTGTATAATAGAAAGGTCATAGAAGACGTTTAATCTAAATGTCTGTGTCCACTGGGGGGGCAGTATTTCACTGGAGACAACTGAAGACACCATTGTTCCCCGGTCAGCCATGTAAAGTGTCTCGTAGTGGGCATCAATGTTCTAAATATATAAGTAGCAGTGGACATCCTGAATATTATATTTTGAACATCATCGTTCAACACCTTAAGTGGAAAGACTTAAAAATGTGTTTATTAAGTAGGCTAACTATCTATTGCTACAATGGAAGGTCAGCCTACAGTATGGCCCACTGATGAAAGCCCATGCTTTTTCAAACTGGGTATCTGCTGAAATTATTGAGAAGAATCTTGAGGAATTGGTACCGCCAAAGAGAACGAAATAGTGTTCTTCAAGAACCTCAAGGTGTTCCATCCTACTGTGTGATACGTTTATTGCCAATTTAACTTTTTTATTTATAAAGAACATCAATTTCTGTCAGTGTGCCAGTGTTAGCCATATCATATGGCTAATCATCAGCTGCAGTCCCTAAACAGTCAGGTGAGTCAAACCCAGGCAGCGAAGTTTCAGTGCAGTGACATAGTTTGTCATTTTAAAGAGGGTCACTACTTGATGAAGATCAAGGTTGCAGTTTTCAATAATTTAGATGAAAAGCTCACTGCTGACTTTTTGGTAGTTTTTAAACACAATATGATTGTAGCAAGCCAAGTACCCAATGAAGACCTATTTACCGGATGTCTTTACATGAATCAAGTCAGCTAGAAGTAATTTAAAAGTCAGTAGACGATAAACCAATTCCAGGTTGTTCCATAGCCATTTGAATGCAAT